ACGGCTCTCTAGGTAAGCTGAGTGTAGTGGACCTGTGTGGGCTTATCTGCCTAGTTTTGTGTACAGGGAGTGAGCTCCGACTCCAGGATTATTCCTTTATATGAAGCAATTTTTCTTCCCAAGGCTGTGTCTGCCCGGGACCTCAGCCTGGCTCACGAAGTGTTACTCATTTCTGTCTTACTCAGGCGGCGGATGAGTAAGGCGGCGGATTATATGGCGGCGGATATAATGATTGGTATGTTGGCTTCAGTATTAGTCACTATATGACCTTGGATGGGTTTATGGCTCGAGGCTCTCATTTTGGGTGTTCATCTCCTCGTAAAAGTGCATGTAATGTGCTACTTACTAAGTTTAGATTTAGGAGAGACTTTGGGTAAATACTGGTTCGGTAACAGAGTTGTCGATTTGTGGAACCAATTACCGCGTAACGTGGTGGAGGTGGGGTCCCTCGATTGTTTCAAACGTGGGTTGGACATGCATATAAGTGGGATTGGATGGTTATAAAAAGGAGCTGCCTCGTATGGGCCAATCGGCCTTATGCAGTTACCTTATGTACTATTAAAGACAGTTAAATGTATTACTTAGCTACTGCAGTTTTGCAGTAGCAACTGCACATACTTTAGTGATCACATCACATACAGGTTCTACAGAATCCATACAGGGTCTCCACCAGCAAGGCATGATAGACTTAGGTACTGAGCTTCATTCAGTGTTAACGAGATATAAATATAAGCCCAGTTCTGGAAGCTGTGACGTACATCTCGGTTACGGTATAGTAGGCCTGGTATTGGTACAGTACAGTGAGGCCTGGTTGAGGACCGGGCCGCAGGGACATTGAGCCCCGAAACCATTGCAAGGTAGTAAATCTGTAAAACTATAGTTATAATACTATATAGTAAACTCTGTAAAACTGCAAGTTATGGTCATTTTAATAATGGGAGAAAGAAGGACAATAAATAAAACTATTCAGGCTTAGCTTCAAAATGAATGTGTTTCATTATTTATTAAGAGCAAAAAAAAAGTCAACTAGCATAAGTATAACAGACATGAATATGTTAATGCGTCTGAGCTTTGTACCGAACTGACAACCCATAGAAACTGGAGGGAATTGTTGAAAGCGCCATTAATGATCACCTCCCAGCCTGGCGCACCACTATTCCTCACCATGGCACCTCACATAGTTTATATGCATTTGAAATCCTAAAATATTTTTCAGTATTGATTACCAATTTTCAACTTAAAGAAAATGATTAAAATTTTATGAAGATATTTACCTTTACATCACTGGGACTAAGGTTGCCTTTCATGTAAGTGTATTGTACAAATATATTGAATAACTAAATAAATACAGTACATATATGCATACAGTACATACATACAGTATATATATATTACACAGAATATGCAAACAAGCTTGAATGGTCCCCCAAACTCATGTGAATAATAATTGACCAAATGTTACTCATGTGGCCTCAGCATGATGAAGTGATTTGATGAAATACAGCTGTACCTGTGCCCAAATCGGTCACAGAATGCTGTCAGGAATTGGATTAAAGATCAGATGACTTCCAATTCATTTGAATAGTCAGTGTGGCCTAGCAGTTAAAGTATTGGACACATCAAGGTGCATGGAGCCCTGGCTGTCTGGGCTCGAATCCTTCAAAGGTGAAGAGTTTTCTGTCATATATATTTATACTGTACTGTATTTATATATACTGTATGTGTATGTATGTAATGTTTTGCACATATAAAGTGGCTCTTCCTTGATACTGGGGGCTGGCTTACTATACCAATGGGCTATAACAGTTGCCTATTCATGGCCAGTTCACTGTTGACACTGACAATGACTGTATACTCCACTCTCTTCAAATTCAATAGCCTAACAAAAAAGGGAAAGAATATGTAATGTCAAATGGATACCATTGAAAATATGTCTCCATGAGAGGAAATTGGTCTATTGCACACACACTTGATATTATGGATCACTTGTGAACAGATGATACAGTATGTCCACCATTTCCATTTCATCAAATGTGGTTATGATTGGCCACTGAGAGGTTAGTACACCAGATCTGAGAGTTACGTCAGAATTATTTACACTTATCAAATTGTTCCTTCCAGTCAACAAATGTATAAAAAACTAGCACTGAATGTAATGAAACGCCTCTTTCTGGTGGGTCCTTGGTGGCTCCTTGATGGTTCCTTGAGATTGCTCCACCCAATTCAATCTACTCCATGTCTTTGCAAATTATTGTAAGCTTACCAGGTAGGCCAGAGGCCAAACTCTGGCCCCTTACAATCAGTAAATTAAACGAAGCATAGAAATCGAGACACCAAAACCTCCCTCCTTCCATTGTGAAGCTTGTTAATTCACCTGTACATCAGTGCACTGTGTACCTTCCTCTAGCCCCATTTATAGAGAAGGGCCAAGTTTTGACCTCTGTGGCCACTTTCACGAAGCAGTTACGCGAGTACTTACAAACGTGAACATCTTTCCTCGATCTTTGACGGCCTTGGTTACATTTATTAAACAGTTTACAAGCATGAAAATTTCCCAATCAACTATTGTTATTGTTATAAATAGCCTCCTGGTGCTTCGGAGCTCATTAACTGTTTAATAATTGTAAACAAAGCCAACACAGATTGAGAAAAGATGTACAGGTTCTTATGTGTTTGCGTAACTGCTTCGTGAATCTGGCCCCTGGTCTCTTGTAGGCTTACAATGACTCGCATGGGTCTGATGTGGATTGATATGGAAGAAGCTATCCAAGTAGCTAGCTCAAGGAGCCACCTTAGGAGCCCTCCCAGAAAAGTGTAGTATATGAGCAATGCTCCTAACTAGATAAACAATTTTCTTTTCATATCGAGACAAAAGACATAACTTTCCAAGGTTTTGCCTTTAATTTCAGGAACAGGACATGTATTAATTGATAAAACCATTTGAAGTATGGCTAAGTATGATGAGACCAGACAAATGCATGTATTAAATACAATGAGATCAGAGAAATAGATGTATCAAATACAATGAGACCTGAGAAATGGATGTATTAAAGATAACAAGACCAGAGATATGTATAATTTTATCAATATAATGTTTAAATATCTGGCTTACATGTATTAAATCTTAAAGAGTGAATAAACACTTCACACATGAAAATTGGGACAAGAAAATTGTAGTACAATATGGTGGGAACAAAATACAGTAATAAATGTATGGTAATTATATAAATTTCTAAATTAAATGTTAGAACTACTATGATACAGGAGGAATGTATGGTGCCAACACAATAAAAGCAGATATTGTAAATAAATTTTGAGAGTAACTTGAGACCATTAAACATAAGACTTTCAAAATGATAAGCTGAAAATATGTGGTGATATCATCTTATGACCTCACTTCTAACACTATTATTTAATGTTTGCAAAGGTTTATAAAAACCTTAAAAGTAAAATACATTGTCTGATGAAATAAACACTTGTGAAATATGTCACAAACATCAAATGAACAAAGCTTTCAATAAATAATTTTCTTAATTACACTGTATATCAAATTAATATAAGAAGTATTTACAGTTGCACTGTTGTTGTAGAACAGGGGTCTCCAAACTATGGCCCGCGGGCCACATCCGGCCCGCCACATAATTTCATCCGGCCCTCCAAACAAATCCCTGTGTGGTGGCCTTGAAAAAATAATTATCGTATGAATGGCATCGCAGAATTATTCAAAGCTGGGGCTGCTGACTGGTGGCGCTCAACCCGAGTCAGTTTTCATCTCTCTCGATAGTGTGACGCACAGATACTAATACTGGTAGGTATGTGTTGTGCATTACAACCAATCAGTTGTGTATAACTGTATATTGTGGGGATGGAGGGCGAGTGGGGCTTCGCTGCTTCCGTTTCAGGGAGCACAAACACTGTACAATATTCTTTTCTCTGTACTTTGACAATGCCTTTATCTTAGTTATACAAAATAGCAATTTCATTTTTTATTCCTCCGGCCCGCATAAATATGGGAAATATATAATGTGGCCCTTACATTGAAAAGTTTGGAGACCCCTGTTGTAGAACAACACTGTAATTGTATATATCAAGTGAAAATGGTTAACTGTTAACTTTGCAGTGAAAATCAAAATAGTCATTAATACAGTAGCATTATATTTTAAATGAATCAAGATATATGAAGATATAATTATTAAATACAGTACAGATAAAGGAACTGAGTAAATTGCAGATTCAAAAAGATTGGGCTGAAAATTGCTTGTAAAGCATTTACATTATATATATGTAGACAGTTATTTTTACAACAAATGCTCAGACAACAATATGCTTGCAGCCCTACTACAGAAGTGATTAAATTTAATAAAACCAGCCTGGCATTACTCCAGATTTCATGCCAGTTTCGAGAATAATTTTTTTTTAATTTGATACAAAAGTAAATGCTGAAGGGTTCTAGTTTCATGCCATAACTTAAATGCATCATGTAGAGTATAGAATTCAAGTTTTGATAAAATTATAGTACTTGTACAGTTCTGTAAAATAATCTACAGTATATCAATAATTTATCGTAACAACTATACTTCCATAAGATTAGCAAGAGAGCATCAATGCAGTCTCAAATACGGCATTTGTAGTCTTTGATGTCTTTTAGTTAACTGTTAGATATCAGGTGGAACAAAAAAAAAAAAATAGCCTTTCTGGAATATATTATCAAATAAAATTAAAGTGTATGAAAATTACTCAATTTTAAGCCCCAAAAGAGCAAATTTAATATTTCATGACAAAATATTTGAGCTCTCCCTCATTAGGACTTTGGCTGACAATCACTAAATCATAAGCAATAATGTTTAACATGTTTTAGCAAATTTACAGTGTTATTAAGGTAAATAAAAATAAACACACCTAATTGGCAATAATTATTAAGTCTTTTTAAGAAGCTACCTTTTTTGCATATTACAGCAAGCACTAATAATGGAGAATTAAGATGAGTTCATCTTTAGTGATTACTTCCTCTCAGTACTACCATAAGCATAAATAGAGTTAAGTTAATGCCACAGCTGAGCAATGTGACAAGACATTATCTGCTGAGCATGCTTAATTGTGGATAGTCACTCCCCGATGGGCACAGTTGGTTGTGAAAGTGACTGATATTAGATACTGTTTACTGTTACATAGTACATAACGTTGATCACTTTCAATCAACGGTTCCCACTGGGTCATGCCATCTCGGAGGGTCTTAAAATGGCACACACTTCTTATCATTTGGAAGTTGAAATCTTTACATAATTAAAATACGGTATTGCATTACATTTTAAACTTAATGAAAACTTACTAAGTAGTACTACTACACTATCATGAACAGTATTTTGCTTGCCATGTTCAGGTTGTAGGACAATTTTGGTAAAAACTATAATGTTCATTTCATATATTTATGTCAGCTGCTGAAAGATATGAATATTCAATTAAAAAATTAATACTTGAGAAAGATTTCATAAACACCAAAGTTTTTAATAATGTACAAAATTATATAAAAAATAAGTTTAACAAGTTTCCTGTCACAGTACATAATTTGAATGACACGTTTTCCTAAAGAGGACATATGCCAACAATTTCTAAGAAAAGAAAAAGTGAATACTGATAATATGGCTTTAGAAGCCATATTATCAGTATTCACTCATTTCAAAGAATTTCAAAGAAAAGATGTATACTAACACAACACAAGGAAATGATTAATATTCCCCTATTAACTGTATACTCTTTCCAAATGCTGGTACATAATTCCAGAATTTCAATGTTTCTAAACATATTCCACAAAAAGTACCTAACACTTGTTTAGTATCTCATACAACATTACTGTATTAAGTAAATGTAATTTAATAAAAATACTGTATGTATATAGAGGACAGTGTTTAAGCATCATATGTAATTAAATTCTTGATCTGCACGATATATAGGGTACAAGTAAAACATTCCTGGAATAGAAATATTTTGTGAAATCGGTAACAGATTTGTAAAATTCAGGTAAAAGCAAACTGTAATATCTCACCATACATTTGGTGTCTCATAGTAAAGTACTGATATAGAAAATACAGTAATTACAATTTAGTTACAGTACTCTCGAGTGGAGTATATTAGATAGTTCTAATGCAGTTACGATTATGGCATGTTCAGATACTGTGTTTATCGGTTACATTGATACTACTAATATTTTACTATGAAAAAAAATAAATTATATTTTTATAAAAATTTTGTTGCATACAATACAGTACAATCATATTAGTACAATAGAAAGGTACAGTATAATTTATATGGATAAAAGTATTAGGTTAGGTGCATTCACTCAATGTCACAAATACACACAGCATTTTGGCCAAAACTTAAAGTTTACATCCCATAGTGTTAAAACAATATTTAATATAATCAGTCCAGGATAATTCTGATCACACCTTGTACGCATTCATGCAACCACAGACATGATCAACATACAGAAAACACACCATAGTATTCTGCATAAAATATAATATAACAGCTGATACCAAAAATAACCAATAGGACTTGGCGTAACAGTTTTAATTTAATATACAATTTTATACCGAGTAACAGACTTGCAACTGAGGACAGCACAATATCCCAAAATAATGCAAGTCTGGGCTATGGATCTCTGTCTTATTGCCATAATGTCTACAAAAATATACTCTTTAAGATATACATGATTTGGCATCACTCAGATGAAGCTACCATTGTGCATTCTACAACAGTTGTTTTCCACGATCACTGGAGACTAGAGCAGCAGCTGCCTAGTACAATCCAGAAACTATACAACACTAAGCTAGCTCTGTCACTGTAAAGATGGCAAGCCTAATTTTGTATCTAAATCATGCTTAGTTCTGCTAAGACACTGCAAATTGCTGAACCTAGGCTTAAGACTGCACTGCCATATTTTAAACCAACACTATGAAATGGGTAACTTTTGGCAGATCCTTACACAGTAACTATATACTCGGCCTAGGCGAGTAGCTGTTCATGAGCAATGCAATTTATCTGGATAGTTGCGTTTATACCAAACACACCTTTATAGCAGCTGAAAATCCAAAAGATAGCAAATAAGAATATTAGCAAATTTTCCACTGCTAAAACTACAGCATGGTCTAATTATTATACTACTAAAACACAAACCTTAAGATAGACAGGAAGAAATATTAGTGTTCACAGTTAGGGGTCTCCTTACTGAGTGTGCAAGTGCATATGGTTAAGGATGTTATTATGTATATGCACATCTGAGGATTGCAGTATGTCATTTATTATAGAACACTTAATAACAGAACTTTTGGAATTGTTTATAAAATTTGTATCATTCAATTAGTGTACAAATTAAACATTAGCTTGCTTAGCAGAGCTTTAAATTTAGTAATTATGCACATCAAAATAAATTGATTTGGCCATTATCTGGAGTTTATCCCATGAGCTACAGATTAACTTTTGCCTACTTGCTAAGGTGGAAGATGCCAGAAGATAAGTTTTACAGTGTTGCATAAGGAATTTTTGGGGAAAAAATCATACTGTATATACAATTTTAAGAGTCTAAGTAACTGACAGAAGAAATCAGCTTGTTTATGCAGTTAAGTCTGAGTCACTGAGCCTTAGAAAGTATTATGGTTGGGTCTGGTCCAGGCGGATCACCTTATACGAATTGTCAATAAATGAATCAAAGCATACTCAACCTCTCACCTTGTTCATAGTTAAGTACCTAGTAATAATAATGCTAATTACTAGAAAATTTACTAAGGTTCTATTATATATAATTGTGTATTGTGTTGTAATGACACATGAAGAATATATTCGTAATATTGTGGCTGAAACAGATAAACACAAAACCCACTATACATTGATCATTACACTCCCAGTTTCACTTGGAGATGCCTTCCCATACTGACTCACCTTTTACTGATCTACATACTATTTTGCAAAGAAATGCACCATAAAAATATAGCTTCAGAGTGTAATGAGACACTCCTTTCTTGATGGCATATTAATAGCTTCCTTGAGCTTATGGCACTGGCACAGTAGGGTCATGGCAGGCACACAAGGCTTCACAGAGAATCTCTGCAAACCAAATGAAATTTGAGATTATTTCTTTGTGTACTTTTGTTCACCAAAGCCTATTGCTTGAGGGGGTGGAGCTTAGTATGATTGGTTTGTGTCTATTGTAATGTGATCTACTCAAACTCCACCCTCCACCAAAGATAAATTTGTTATTCAAAAACATAAGACATACTGGTGTCTTATGGTGTTAAGACACCAGTAGGTTAAGACATACTGGTGTCAACACATTCTGGTGTTGCCAAGAAGATTTTTACCATTCAACATTTCAATATATTAATGAGTGGACAAATGATATACAGTTTCACAACAGTGAGGTTGTCTGTGTAGACACCCAACAAGTTACTGGCCAGATACAAAGATGTGTAACTGACTGACTGAGGGATGTGTACATCATCTACTGCACCATGCTAATGACTGACCTCCAAAGATGTGACCTCACAACAGGCAAAACTGTAGAAAACCAATTGAGCATAGATTATTTAAAACAATGTAATGGCTGAACTTAATTCTGAATGACATTTTAATATCTTGTTACTGTAAATAAAGAAGAAAAATAAGAATTAGGGAAGCATCTAAACAAGTCTGTTGGCCCATACTAGATGGGTACTATTTAAATCCACCCCCTCTCCTAATACACCACTCCAACCTTATTTCACACATTGAAGCACAGCTGTCTCAGCCTCGGGCTGTTGCTAACGTGACTTCAAAGAGTCTCTCACACATTTAATTAACCCTTGACTGTATTGTTAGTGTGCTTTTTTCCAGGTTAAAGAATTTGCATACATCATTAAGAGACATTTGCTTAAAGGTGGCCATGGGTTAAATCCCCATAGTACAGAACTGGGAATGTACTGTCTTTGCATGAATTTTTATGGTGTGAATTTTCATTTGCATGAATCTTCAGCATGAAGAAAAATAAGTTGTGCATACAGTACAATAAGCGGTAGTGTAAATAATGATTTACTTTAAGTTTAACTTCTACTTTTTCTTTTAAATTTCGTTTATGCTTGCTTTAAATGCCACTAATAGATGTTATTACTATGAGGGTTACTAATAGACATCTAGCTATTAGTGCCTCTGATAGGCATGCAACTGTAAGTGCCACTGATAAATATGTGATTACAAAAAATTGTTAAATTAAGGATTACTTAAGTTTAATTTTATCACTTCATACTGTGTGTAATTGCACACTCAAGTTGGAGTCCTTTCTAGGGAAGACATAACTGTTATATCTTAAACATTTTAATTTATATTTTCTTAATGTGTTATGTTCACTTTAGTATCCCTATGAACTAGAAAATAACTTTCCTGATTCCTTCTAAGACAATAAACTGTAGAAGTTTATATATTCACTCAAGACAGTACTTTGTCCTATTTGATGAACTTTCTCTGAAAGATAAAAGATACAAAATTGTATAAGCATAACATGATATCATTGCATAGTGTTTTACAAACCCCTTGAGCTATAGTGAAATGGATGAGCTACAGTCACAATGCACAAGACTTAACAAGCCATCAGGATCTTTTCAAGACCATGTTAAAGGCCATATGACCTTGCCAGCAACTGATGCAAATCCAATGATCTCTTTGTTGTTTGAAAGGGTTATGAAATTTTGACATATAATGTCGAAGACTAGATCATTTCTTTAGATTACTGTATGATCTCGCTTATCCGGATATTTGGGTCATCCGGCCAAAATCATATCCAGATAATTTTCTGACAAAACTTTGCAATATCCGGATAGTAATCTGGATAACAGGAGGTTTGGCTAGATTGCCCAGGCTGGCACAGATTCTAAGTAAAATCTGGATAATTTTTTGCCAAAACTTCACCGTATCTGGACAGAAATCCAGATAACTGGAGGTTAGGTTACATAAATTTTAAACTACACATTTCAAGATCTACAATATCAAACATAAAAACAAACTACGAGGTAAGCTGAAGTTTCTCTTTTTTTTTAATTATATTTTTGATTTATAGTGTGTGGAAATTCAAATTGTGTTGGTTGTGGTACAACAAATTGCAAATATGGTCATTTTTGGACCTTCCCAGTAAGAATTCTACTTATCCAGATGTTTGGCTTGTCCAGCGAGGGGTTCATCCCATCCGGATAAGCGAGCTTAGACATTACTTGTGGGAATCCAGAGAGCTTTTCAAAATCTGAGGTTGCTGGGGAAAGAAATTTTTATCAGCTGCAGACAGAACCTGGTTTTCATATACTGTAGACAAAGTGTGGGTCTTGCATGTTGTAAGAACTGATTGAACGCAGTTTGCTTTTTACATGCTGAAGATATATCACTGTCTTCAATGATTCGTATAAGATCTGATCTTTACTTGTTGCAGACAGAAACTGTTTATTATGTGCTCCTGATAAAAGTTGTATTTTGATGCCACATATACAGATAAAACATGTACCTCTTGTGCTATAGACAAAAGTTATATTTTATCTGTTGACCAAACCACACACTAGAAAGTGAAGGGACGTCGATGTTTCAGTCCATCCTGGACCATTCTCAAGTCGATTGTGAATGGTCAATTGTGAACAATCGACTTGAGAATGGTCCAGGACGAACCAAAACGTCGTTGGCCCTTCACTTTCTAGTGTGTGGTTTGGTCAACATATTTCTGCCACATTATTGTGCCTCCTTGTCTGTATATTTTATCTGTTACAGCCAAAAGTTGTCATATGCTATAAACAGAATATGGTCTTAATGTGCAACTATAAAATCATGGTCTTTCGATGCCACAGATTGGATGTTACACACCGTGAATGTGTAATTTTCATCTACTGCAACAGAATTGCAAATTAAATATGTATTCTTGGCTGTTTCTGGTAAAAATAAACATCTAAATGGAGGGACCAGATTTTAAATTTCTATCATAATAACTCTCCAATGGAAGCACCCTTTTCTTGTTTCCCAATTAAAAATACTTTGGTTTTGCTTATACAACCATTTCTTCAGTTGCTATGGATAAAAGCAAATCATTAGTTTCTGCTAGTAGAACTTTTATCATAGCTGATGCAAGTGAAGTATACTGTACCTAAAGCTTAACCATTATTTTATCCATTCTCATGCACTTGAATATATCCTCATCATTTATTTAAAGATATCTTTACTGTATTATAAACCATCCCATGAGATCTCAAACTTAATATCGTAGCAAGTCATGGACATTGTTGTAACTCCAATGACAGCAGAATAGCAAAGATCTGTGTGCTTTCTGGCACGCCAAATCCCAAGATACCCAGGACCTGTCTTGTGTTTGGTCTCCTCTTTTCCTTTGGGTGTCTTGGTTTCCTGCCCAGCCATCTACTCCCCCTTTCTCATTGTTATCAGTAACTTGTTAGACGGAGCAATGCTTTCCGAGACTCCCTCACTGAGGGTGGGATCCTTCCACTTCCCAGTCCTTAAGAAAGATTCTCTAATGCTTCTTTTCATCCTGAATTTTTCTTGGCTCAACACTTTCATCCCCCATCTAGCATCAGGATAACCGCAATGACATTGGTTTGCCAAGTGGTATCGAGCCAGTCTTGACTTATTTCCCCGAATCTGCAGGACACACATTGACACGTTTCTAATCACTCTTGTATATTTGTGCAAATATGTAATTCTTCCCAAATGTATTGACAATCACCATGGATATATGTAATCACAATATTCATCTTCATGCTTCTTGAGTTTTAAGGGCTGTTCTTCATAGTACAGTAATATGATAATTAAAATTAGACATGAGTTAACCTACAACTGCAACAAGAAGAAAAATTCCCCATCTTGTGTCAGACCTATATAAAAATAATGGCCTGACAATCTTCCATTGGTGGCTTGCATTACATTTTAGGGGAGAAATTAATCACTTTGTTCTCCTTTTACAACTCTTGATAAAACATAATTTATTTTCTCAATATCAAAATATTCTACGATTATTCTGCATAATTTTATTTAGATTTTTTGTCCTGAAAGTACTTTATTTGTGAACCATGAGTAGAAACTTAAAATTTAAATGGATACCTATTTTTTATTTTTTTTTTATATATTTCTCAAAATAACATAAGGTCATATGACTATTGTAACAAGCAAGAAAATATAGCTTTAGCTAAGTCTTGTGGTGAATATGGTATTAAGAAATTATAAAATACATTGCTCTGCAATACAAGAAAAACACTGTAGACTTCAGCATGTAAAAGTCTGGCTCATCACACAGTGCTGTTTAAAAGACAATATATAAACATAAGTATAAATTATTATTGCAATTATGTGATAAAGAGTTTGATATAGAAATATGACAAAAAACTGAAATAGTATTCAAAGTTTGACACAAATGTTGTTGTGCCTCGCAGGACCAACACCTGGCAGCATTGGAGCAGCACTCATAATGTAGCCAAGAACAAAAAAATGTAATAGGTACTGCACAGCACTCCATATGGTAATCTGCTGCACTCACACAATGAGGCAGCAATTGCACAAAGTTTTTGCTGTGACAATGTATTCAACAACAAGGCAGCAAGCTGCTTCGCAACACAAGCAGTTCTTGTCTTTGGTCATCAAAATAATTATCTTTATTTATGGATTCTCCCATAAAGGGTCTTTATTTTTTATTCTGTACAATCACTTCCAGAGCAGAATACTACTCAACATGTTCCAAGTTTTAACTAAAAAAAAAAAAATTATTTGATTTTCTGCTGTTTGGTTAACACAGCCTCTAAGAACGGTCATTACTAACTCGTCATGTCAATGATCACTCCCCGCCTGTAACTGCTGGTGAGCGAAGAAATGGTGAGTGATGTCCGGCTCCTAGCGGATGCCCTGGAAAATTAATAAAATGCTCTCATCTTGTTTCACTATACCCACAGTCAAAAAGAGCTAAGCAAAATGTGCCGAGATGTAACTACTGGAAAGGGAGCCATGGTATGGGTACAAAAATTGAGTGAAGGAAAATGGACACATCCTGACTGCGGCTGGGTCACGTCCATGGCTCTCCTCGCCTCCCAGCATGACCGTTCTGGGTCAAATGGGAAGAATTTGACCAATGAGTGCTGCGTGAATCTCTGGGCGGATAACGCGTCGTTGTAAGAGGGCGGTCGTTGTGGGCCTGGCTGATGTGGTTGGCTCTAATTGGGTGATTTTGAGGGGTGGGCGGCGTATGTGGTGGTGTGTGGAATACATCCTGGCAGGTGCTGGGGTGCTGCCGCTGTGGCGAGGAAACCTCCAAGAGGCGATGTGTAGGGTGCTGCAAAGACATACTGTCAAGCTACTAGCACAAGCAGTTACTGAAGGAAGCACAGTAATGTACAGGTATACGACTACAACAAAGGAAGAGAACAGCTGAAAAGTAATTTTGTGTTCAATGTAAATATCAAATCTAATATAAAGTACCTTCATGTCTACCACATCACCAACTTGTTCAATAGAATAGGGTCATCTCTAGATATAAACAGATGAGAGTGACATTTAAATACATTTTAAAGCATTAATTCATTCTGCCATCTTAAAAATTATCTATGATAAACTAACACTAAGTAAAGCTTTCAACTGTTCTTCCCTTTGGTAAACAATTAGAGCTGCACAGTATGAAATCTTACACAGCAGGAGTACACTGTGTTAATACACTTTTAGTAAAGACAAAGATTAAGACATTGGTGTTACACAGAAACAGTGAAGAAGAAAATAAAGAGAGGGAAATAAATATAAAAAGAGTAGGAGGAAAGGAAGGGGAAGAAGGGAGTGGATTGAGGAAAGGGGGATGGGATGGGATGGGATGGGGAAGAAGGGAGTGGATTGAGGAAAGGGGGATGGGATGGGGAAGAAGGGAGTGGATTGAGGAAAGGGGGATGGGATGGGGAAGAAGGGAGTGGATTGAGGAAAGGGGGATGGGATGGGGAAGAAGGGAGTGGATTGAGGAAAGGGGGATGGGATGGGATGGGATGGGATGGGATGGGATGGGGAAGGGGGCATGTGTGGGAATTGGAGTGTGAATTTGTTCATGTGTCATTTCCAAACTGTAATTACATGTACCTAATTTATAGTTCCACAGTTATGTTCGTGGTGTTCAATATTCTTAATACATTTTAACAAATTCATCTTAAAACTAATGGAAGTTTTGAGAGTTACATTAGACTTTTTCAGTATTTTAAATTTCTTGGGGAGATCAGTCGTCATGCCAGGTTAACATTGTTGTTAGTCCTGTGGCAATAAATCTTTTCCAGCATGGATGCTGACTTGGTTTTTAGTTTAGTTCAATTATTATGCACCCCATACGAATCCTGCACCCCCATATCCAATCCTGCACATAGTGGGCTCAGGGACTGAGCCCCAAAATTCATTTAGCCAACCAAGTTACAGTCTTGATATGCTAGTTACAAAAGTTAATGTATAGTGTTACTGTATATCAACAATTACTGGGTTAGAGACCAACCACAAGTACAGTTTCCAAGCTAAGCAACCTGCATATGTGGTGAGTTAGTGTCATAATTGATATATTTATCCTGCACCATCTCCAATGCAATTGGCAGCAGCAGAAAGGATGCAATCATCCACATTTACTACTTACACTTTGGAAACTGGGGATATTTGGCTAAAATTTCAGGTATTATGTCATTTTGAATGAAATATTTACACATTTCTTGAGCCATCCTTAGGACTGTCTTGTGGTGGGGAGGGCGGGCCATTTGCTTGAGTATTGTTTCAATATTTAGTATTTGTTCATGTTGATATTTACAAGCCTCCTTTCTTGTGTAAACTTTGGAAACTGTTCACTTCATGCTACTCATTTGGTGTTGCTCATGCCCTGACAGGGTTGCTTCCCTGGTGGGACCAGGTGTTTGTCTCATAGAAGCCAGCCTCCTATGGAGAGTGCCTTACCTTCAGCAAGGCATCCTTGACAGCACCTTGGCACCACCATCCATTGACTGACACCTATGCTAGGAACCATTCAAGCTACACAAAATTATAAGGACTTTTATGGACCTGGAAGATCTAAGTGATCAGGAGGAATCTATTAAAACTAGTTAACTTGAAAATTATTCGTCAGAATATAATGTCCTCAACATTTCTACACCTCATTATTTCAAAACTAAAATGTGTAGAATTTTTGTTGCATTTTTCCTGATATCAGTAAGATATGTTTTATGATATACAAAAAATTATAGTTTTTGTATAGTATATGTACTATGATATCTATCTAATTTTGGGGTACAGTTAGGATGTAAATATGCAGCTTGACTATTAAAATGCAATAATAAATAAATTATCTCCAAACTGCAGTACTGAATCTTTCCCAGAAAAAACAAATTAAGGAATGTGCAACCTAGTTGATGGATAATTTGGCAAGGGATAGAAGATCAATTGCTGTAAATTGGAGAAAGTATCATTTTCCCTATATACAGTACATCACTTCGTGAAAGAATTAAAATGTGCTTTGATAGTAAAGTAAAAATGGTGCTGAGGTGCATCTATACATGCATATGTACATTTTGTTTGTATGCATTTGTGGGATACATAAAAAACTACATTCGGAAATATAAAGTTCTCAATTAACTCATGCTTTTCTCAGCTAAGTGTAGAGTGTACTACACTTAGTTACTTTTTTAGGCAATTTCCAAACAGGGCAGGTCAACATTTTAACAGATCACAGTTAGGATCTCTCTCAATTTCCCTGTTGGGGTATACAAGAGCAAGCAAGACACTGGGATAATACACAGTCCAATATAACCCACAGAAGGTAGATGCCTTTACATTTAAAATGCCTTTTTCGGGTGCTACTTGGCATCAGAGACTGCCAAGTAGCACTCTGTTAACTGCAGTGTTTGCCTGCATAACTACTACCCCAAACCATCATCAGATAGCAGCACCTACTTGCCACCAGAGGAGGCTGTCACTGTCTTCTTCACTTTTCTCTATGCTCTTCCTTTAAGCACACACAAGCTGGCCCTGATCGAAATTGTTACGTTAAGAAACATTGGTTTCAACATGCAGTAGGCTCATCCTATTAATGGGAATCTGTGAATGCAGCCTGGGTACCTCATGAAACAATAAATAATACAAAGTCATGACCTCCCCCTCCCCATCCCATCCAGAAGGAAACATGGTCCAGGAAATGCCAGTAAGGCTCTACAGGGGTATGAGTGTACCAAATGGCCCCAGGTGCAAGAGTGAGGCAGCAGGCTGGATGAGAACCCAGCAGATCTGAGCGACCATCTTGTGGTTGTCAGTCACATTACTGTTGGAGTATTTACCATGCAACAACGATCATTTGGCTTGTTTACCTAGAGGGTGTATACTTTCCTTCATAGAGCAGCTTGTTTTGTTTGTGCGTATGATCAGTTTTTTTTTTCTCAACACTGGTTTGATCATGGATCCTCAAGCTCCTTTCGCTTCATTTAGTGAGCTAGATTCTGGTTCTGGTTTCTGAGAGGCAATGAATGGGTCTCAGAGGCCTGTTGTGGATAGCAATTGCTTGGTAGTAACCAAAGTTAAGCTTTAGGAGCTACTGAGGAGTCCCTCCCAGAAAAAAATCAGTGCTGAATGGAATTAAATGTCTCTTCTTGTAAAGCCCTGGTGGGTCCCTGAAGATATCTTATTGAAATGGCTCTCCACTACTGGGTCACATCATTCACAGGAGTCCTGTTTGGCCTACTGGAGACCAGAGCCAGAATCTGACCCCACCACACAGAAGTGCAGGAAGCAGGGGACAATAATCATCTACCTCACCAGGAAAGCGCCCAAAAAGTTAGTGAAGTTTACAGACAACTGCAATGTTCATAAGAAACAGAACATCTAAATAGATTAACGACTCTGTAACCAATTCAGTGACAACAATTGGTTCACTTCAAACTAGCCTAAAAAGTTACTATCGATGGCCACCTCCTGGTGACTGCGAACCTCAACCAATAGCTGGCTTCCAGGACAGAACCACCCAAAATGACACCGAAGGAAAATGACAAAAGGGACAGAAAGAGGTGAAACGAGGGCCAGGAATTTCATACTGCCACAATGAAGAGATGCATGTGGGACATCAATAACCCAGCCACCTGTTCATCATGCAACTGGGGACAGACCTGCATCAGAAACTAGAGAATCAGAAAGGCAAAAGAGGAACTGGCTAACACAGCACGATGGGAACAAGAGTGGAAAATAGTGACCAACCCCCAATAAAATACAGCTCTGCTTAAGAAGCTGCTGGGCTAGTTCACTGGGAGCCATCAACATTGGAGATATGCTGATACGGAAACAGGACTCCACCACGATCATAGGTCATGACAAATACAGGCTACTAAATTCCACTGAGCATACAAACAAGAAAGTTGCAATGGCCAGAATGCAATTAGTCAAGCTGTATCTCTTCAACCAGGCCCCACAACACATGAAACTGTCTCTTTGCAGAATGCTCATCAGGCCGCTCCTAGAATACCTGTATTCTAGGAGCTCACAATGGCCAAAAATTCAAACACACTCAAGCTGAACCGCGCCCAGAGTTGCACTAGTGCATTCCTTAATCAATAAGCCCAGAAAAACCCCAACCACAGAGCCTTGCAAAGGAGTCAAAGATCCTTGCACTGCTTAGGGCAAGGTACCCTACACAGTAGTATGGCCTCTTAGGCACGAAATTCCAGACCCACCACAGAAGTCATCTATCAAGACATAGGGCAATGCCAAATGAGCGTTTAGGGTAGGACTGTCCTAACACATGCAGCTCAAGGCAAATCATAAACCAATTCCAGACAAATGTGAGGCATGGAAACACACGTATGGAAACAATACATAAAACAAATGGCCCCTACAAAACAGAGTCCAAATGATGGCTTTATTTATTTGGAAAAATCAGGACTCGCTAAAGCCGATGACCCAATTAGTGAATCCTTGGAGTCAACGATGACAAGACTGAGCTCTGTTGACATAGGTGCTGCCACCTGGTAGTGGCTAGTTTGAACTAGAGGGGTGTAATGACTGGTATATAAAGTTTAGCTTTTGCGGTTGTTAATGTAAATGTTTCACCTAGTTAAAATACCAGTTTGTTTTATTTGTGTTAATTTTTATGTTTCATTTGCGTTTGAGAGTACAGTATGTATTAGTAAATGTGTGTGATTCTGTGTGTATTATTTTCCTGCGCGTTTTCGTGAGTCTCTGCACTCCACGCGACAGAGAGGGCTGAGACTCCACTCACCCAAGTTGTGGGATGTGTGCTTGTGAGGTACTCTCCTAACTGTGTGAGGTTATTGACCTCCTTTTATATCTGAGTGTCAGGAACTGTAATTGTTAATTTGATGAGAGGAATTTTTCCTTGTTAGTATATTATCCCTTTTCCTGTGGTTGTTTCTTTGTTTCTTTGCACTTTGGTTGTTTCTTGAGTCCCACCAATGAACAAATATGGTACCGGTTCCACGTGGTCACTCTTGTGTTTGAAGTGTTTATAAATGCATATTGGTTCCACATCCCTGGTTTAAAGAAACGTACATACTGTATACAATAAATAAGAAAGTAAGGACAGGTTTCGTGAGTTCGTACTCTAGGGTACGGCTTACAAACACGTGCACTTACATGAGTTTGAACCCCGAGTGGACAGTTTTCAGAGTCATTTGCTTCCTCATGTCTTTCTGTGAACATTGCAGCTGTCCATTTTGGTTCACTTACTCTCTGGATGTTTACTTGGTGAGGGGTGACCAAAATAATTCCCTGTTTCTTGAGCCTCTGTAAAAGAGCCATGTTCTGGCTCTTGTTTCTGGTAGGTCATTAAGGACTCTTAGGGCTGATGTGACTCATATATGTGGAGCTATCTAAGCAGGCCAGTTACAGGGAGCCATCATTTGGTGCCTCTAAAAAAGTGAAGTGTAAAAGTTGGCAAATCATAAAACCGAGTGTGTTCCGAGATGGATTTGTCATTTGAAATGTGGATGAGGGTAAAGTGGTTAAGAATATTAATTCAAGTAAACTGAATGAAGGAAGAAAAGAAGAAGGCCAAGAAGATGAGAAACATTTGGCAAGTTATTACATGAGAAAGTGAAAAATAATTATATAAGGGAGTGATTGTTTAATAAATTTTTAGATAACAAATCATTTTGACTGGAGTGTAGCAAGGCCGAGTGTGTGACTTTTCTTTGGGGCAAAGCTTTTCCACCTCATGATGATGATAAATTAATATAAACACATCAATAATTATCTAGGAAGCAGTGGTAACATAAATAATCTAAGAGATACATTAATAATTATCAGAATAATTAGTTAAAATTACAATAATGATAACTATGAGATTGAGAGGATATGCATAAGGGCATATATAAGAATGAGTATACAGTATTATGCATGTACCGTATGCATCGAGATAGCCATGTTCAGCCACGTTATTGTAACTTTTCATCTGCAAATACTGTAAGTCAAAGTAGGCCTAATCATACCTCTGGAGAAGGAGTAACATCAGAGGTAGGTGATGAAAGAGCAGCTAAAGAGGCAGTTGGAGTATTGTAAGCAGAGGTTGGAGGCATGCTGTCATCGCCACCCCCTGCCCCACTTGCTGATGCCTCACTGCTTGTTGGTGTATCGCCTCCTCCCTCACCGCCCGAGGCTGTGCCTCCCCCACGTCTCCCACGTCTGTAAGATTTGCAAGAACTGTAATAATAACTACATTAGAAAATAATAATAAAGTAAAAGAAATTTTGGTACAACAGGTACTTTTGCCAAAAGATGTTGCACAATCTTTTACTTAAATTAAGGGATATGCAGTAGTGAGAAGAAAATTATTTATGTTAAGGAATAAAATATTTGTAATTATATTACAATACTGTATGTGTAGAGTTGAATAATTACTAATTTGCTATGTAATTCTATTAAACATGTTTATATCTTCATGAATAATGCTACACATCTGAACACACTTTTTAAATTGCTTTCTTGAGGTGCTTAAAATATATATTATTCTATATTTACATAATAAACTTTCTCCATTATTTTGTTCTAAGGAATTTTTCCTTGAAGAAAGTATACAGTCAACATGATTCTGATTCTGAATTTGTGATAGCTAGGTCTATGACAAAAGTATACAGTATATACAATACAAGCAAATTTGCAGACATTCTGCACACTCCATGCTACTCCAGCTATTAATGTGTGTACTATAAAATATGTATAATTGCCTATATCTGAGCATTTAACTCTTTACTCTGGTAACTACTTGCTATATATTCTAAAATGCAGAAAGAATTAACATAAAGAGTACTATTGTGGTTTGCTTGCTAATGCTTTACCTAAATTTACCTGAGTTTACCTGAGAGCCACTAACATTAGTGGTCTCGACGAGGACAGGAAGCCAGTGGCTTGTCAAAGGTCCCCCCCCCCATTTGTCTTGATGGTCTTTTCCAGCTGAACTTTAAAAGTTAACCGAGTTTTGGCATTTATGGCTTTGGTGGGAAGGTAGTCTCATGGGTCAATAATGCTGTGGGTGAAAAAGCATCTCCTGTTTTCAGTCCTACATTGTGGCTTGTTGAGCTTGAAACCATTGCTCCTTGTTTGTGCTACCTGTACATCTGACCTTTGAAGAAATTTTCCGGATCAACATCCTCCAAATTGTTCAGTATTTTAAAAGTTTCAATGCGATCAGCCCTGTCATGCTGGTTTGCAGTGTTGTTAGTCCTGTGGCCCTCAACCATTCCTGATACACAAGTTAACTTAGCTCTGGATTGATTTTTGTTGCCCGGTGTTGCACTTTCACCAGAGCAGCTATATCCTTCTGAAGATGAGGTCTTCATGATTGGATACAGTAATCCAAATGGGGGGACACAAGAGATTTATACAATTGAATTGCTACCTTCTTTTACTTTCAACTATTCCTTTTCATTTTTAACTCTCCTTTTCCTTTTAACTAACACACCACTCACTCCTTTTCTGTGAGTCCGGGAATACGTGTAGAGTAGTACAGTAAGTATTAGTAAACAAGGAGGAAAACAAAGTAAGAGAGTGCATGGTAGATGCAGGATGAGACAGCAGGCCACAGTAATAGTAGAGAAATTTAAGATAAATATTTTAATTAGTCTGGACTGGAAGAAGACATGAATGACAGGCTCACAAGGAGAATTGGTAAGATTCAAGTACAATGTGTTAAAAATATAGATAGTTAACCAACATCTTGGAATGTAAAGTAGAAGACTAAAGACTTGACAAATTCCTTAAATACTAGAATAAGAACTATTTTTAGATAGGGCAATCTTAAGTTTTTGGTCTGTTCCCAAGATGAATGAGGCATTACATACAGATATAGAGAGAAAAAGATGAATACCCTCATCTGATAGCCAAAATTGCAGAAGAATCAACAGACATATTTGCATTGCAAATACTACCCAGTAAAGATTAATTTAAATCCTAATAATTAGAAAGAATACATTTTCTCACTAGATTTTGGGCAATTTATACATCCATGATATAGTTTGTAAAATGAAAACTTTTCCTAAGTTTTAATTTTCAGCTTACCAATGCATGACTCACATTGCAAACTTTACTTTGCTATAAGGCAGTAATAGCAGGACCATCTACTACTGTATACTGAAGAGCCGACAAAGTAGGCATTTAGTTAATCGAGCAGATTACATATGATAGCTCAGAAGAAATTACAATTACAGAACAAAGCAAGAAACTAACTGCAGATTATTAGGAACTGCATACAAATACACCACTATGGATTTATTATATTTTATGTATACACTATTTGGAAGCCATTATATTACAACCATTACCTCATCCCTAGAGGGCCACTCTTCTTCATGGCTACCGTGAACTTCACATCTATAGGGGGAACACAAAACTCAGCTGAATTGCGAGGCACACAGTCATAACTGGAGCACAGTCAGGCAATTAACAAACCACTTACTGACCCTTTTTAAATATTACCATAATTTCTTTGGAAAAGATTAAAAATGTTTGGATGACAAAACAAGGTAGCACAATAGTCAATACTTATAATAACTACTGCAGTTATGTTTCTACTGTATTTGCAAAATTTGTCTGTAATACAGTAATGATGAACCATATCAAATAAGTCAAATAAATCAAATGAGATCAAATAAATCAATAAATCAAATGAGTCAAATAAATCTCAAAATAAACAATACCCATATTTGTAACAAATTAGATGGCAAATTCCTTGGCATTCTCATTGACCACAAGCTGAATTTCCAGGGACACATTCTTAATATATCAAAAAAAGTTTCAAAAACTGTGGGCATTCTTTCTAAGATCAGATATTATGTACCACGCCCTGCCCTGGTGACTCTCGATTACTCCCTTATCTATCCATATCTCAACTATGGTATTTGTGCTTGGGGTTCTACTACCCAAAATCACTTACGTCCTCTAATTACCCAACACAAAGCTGCTATTAGAACAATATCCAACTCTGGCCCCAGACATCACTCGGTACCCCTACTCAAATCTCTGAATATGTTAGACATTAAGTCACTGCACATTCTCTCATGTGTATTATACATATATAAAACGCTAAACTATAATGCCAATCCTGATTTCAAAAGCTTCATAGAAGGTTGTAACAGAACCCATGAGCACCACACCAGAAATAAATACAGTTTTGATATTCCTAGAGTACGACTTAATCAAACTAGAAATGCTCTACAAATCAAGGGGCCCAGAATGTGGAATGACCTTCCCAACCATGTTAAAGACTGTACCTCTCTCAACCAGTTTAAGATAAAAACTAAACACTACCTAATAAATTCCCTGTAACCTACCTCACTCCTCTATTGTCAACCCATGTCTGTTATTTTCTTTTTTTTTTAATCAACACTGTTTGTCAACCTATTGTATTTGTGCTGCTTTTTCAGTCATGTTCCCCCTTTTTTTTATCTTTATTTGTATTTGTTCTCAACACTTTTTATTCTTTATGCTCAATTAGTATTACGTTCTAGATATTAATGTTTTTCTTGCCCGAAACGCATTGCGTAATAGTGGCTTTAGGCATTGTATGTACTAGCTCTATCTATATATCAATCCATTAATGTAACATCACTTGTATGTATATACCTTACCTGAATAAACATATTTATTTATTTATATATATAAATCACAACTTTTTGATAAAGAATCACTTGGAAATCACTCACATTAATATCTAACAGTTACATTAACACATGAAACTTTACAAATTCATAAATTCATTTATCTTAATAATGCTTTATGTAGGCTAAAGTATATATAGCTATTTCTTATAAGTTTACAAATAATAAATGATTTCATAACATGTTAAATGAAACAATAGTTGTTTTGCTGCTGCAGTACTGTAGTTAGAAGCAATTAATAAGCACTGAATTGTATTGTAAAATCAGTGTAAATCCAATACTATACTCAAGTAACTTATTTAAACACTCAAACTTTAAATGTATTGAAATGCTCTTTGCGGGCCTTCAGTAGCTTCCCAAGCATATCACCTAAGAAAATTCACTTTCGCAAACAGAGTGGTAGATGGTTGGAACAAGTTAAGTGAGAAGGTGGTGGAGGCCAAAACAGGCAGTAATTTCAAAACTTTATTAGACAAAGAGTGCTGGGAAGGCAGGACATCATGAGCATAACTCTTGTCCTGTAACATAATTACTTGTACCACCGCACCTTAATCCAACATACTGGTTTATGGGAGGGCTGCTTTTCAGTAGCTATTTCCCTACTGAAAGCCAGGACCAAACTCGATTCATTCAACAAAGAGAAGGGAGCAGGAGATCAGTTATCAACTATAAAACTAAGAAAAATCCACCAGAAAACACAGGTGCAGCAAAACAAGCAACAGCTTGAAGGAAATTAGGCACACGTAGATAAACAAGACAAACTATCATAAAAATCCTGAATGTTATGTGCCTGACTGCTAACACATGGCAGTCGAGGTCACCTGAGCTCTCAGCCAGCCTACTCCAACTCTGGAGCCACCTGTGCTAAATCCCAAAACCCCAAAGGAAAGAATGGCAAGGAACTAATGAGGACTTTTTTGTTTTCTTAATTTTAACCATTGTTTTATCCTTTCTAATAATCTACCATTTATTCTATGTGCCTGTAATTTCCATTCAAGTCTTTCATGCGGTACCTTATCAAAGGCTTTAACAAAACCCATGTATACTACATGCACCAGAAGTCCTTTGCCTGAGTAGCTGGTTACAATTTCTAAAAATGTGAGCAAGTTTGTAAGGCAGTATCTACTTTTAACAAACTCAAGTTGCATTGATTTTAAAAGATTGTTCATTGTGAGATGGAGAATGATTCCTTCCCTTAGGATTCTCTCCATGAGCTTGCAGATGTATGAGGTCAAACTAATCGGACGGTAGTTTTCTGCCGAGTTCTTTCTGCCTTTTTTGAAAATAGGGGTGACATTTGTATATTTCCAATCTAAAGGGAACTATCCCTTGGTCCAGAGATTTTCTGAAAAGGATTTTCATTAGTCGGCATAGTTCCTCTATTAGTTCCTTTATGATTTTGGAATTAATTCACTTATCATCAATTATAACTTGGTTGGTCTCATCTTTTAAGGGTCTCACCAAGTCTTTTGTTTTGGTTTTACATCTTACATAGGCATAGAAAGACTTTGGATCTTCCTTATGTTTTGAGCAAGTTTTCTTTTATAGTTTCTTTTAGCTAATCTGATTTCCTGGGTGGCTGAATTTAAGGCCCCTTCTGTATATTTTATAATATAATGTTGTTCCTTGAGGATTGATACCTTCTCCAGAAGTTACACTTGTTTATTAGAAAACTTTTACTGCTTGTGTCATCCATCTCGTTCTCTATCTCTATCTCGCTCTCTCTCTCTCTCTTTTCCCCATTTCTTCATAGTCTCCTCGAGGGTAATCAAGGAATTCATCATACTGGACCTTTACAAGGGGTTTCTATAATAGTAGTCCATCTCAATATATCGTGTTCACATGAAGGGGCAAGCTTTTCCTCTACCTGTATTTGATCGATCATGCCCTCTTCTACTACTATTATGGGAGGGCTGCTATTCATGGCTCTTCCCAATTCAATCCATGCCAAGCCCTTATTAGTCATCGTAAACCTATTTTTTGGCCTCTGGTTTTTGACCAGAAGCCAAAACCTGGCCACTCTAAAGAGGCACAAGAAGCAGGGAATCCTAGATCACTCTAACCAAGAAAAGGCCACCAAAATGGTGAGCAAACCAAAAAATACAATGAGCAAGGTAAACAAAGCATAGAAGATGAGACAACAAACCAATGGTTTGAGATGAGACAATGGTCATTGTGCCAGATCGCAAAACATTGTGATTATGCTCCTCTTCCTGCCCCAGTGCTCTTTGAGTCATAGTTTTCAGAAGTGTGTTGGCTATCCTGGACACTGTTTTTGTTTCATTTGTTTGTGTATTTCTTCTGCATTTTAGTATTTGCTTCATGATGTATGTATATTTATGCCTCACCTCTTGAGTGGTCTTCAATTATTCACCTCACACTGCATGTGCCTAGAATGAACATTTCTAGGTGTTCACAGGTGTTGCCCCTGCCTAGCCAGGGTTGCCTTCCCTGGTGGGTTTGGGTGGCTGTTTCTGAGAGGCTGGCTTCCTGAGGAAGATGCCTTGGCTTTAGCAGTGCACTGATCTTTGATTCCTCTGCAAGGCTTTGTGGATAGAGGCATTTGGGTTTTCTTATAAGGGATCACGCAGAGTGTTCATGTTCTCATTAAATAGCACTCTACTCACATTCTTTACAGCTGTCTATGGCCCTAAGCTGTTTTCAACATTTACGATATTCAATGCATGGCCCCTGTGCCTTGTGTTCTGGCATGGTTATTCCTCCAGGACTCGGCAAGCCCCTGCAGTGCTCGGGGTTCTTCTTTGCTGGTCCTTTGATTTTGCACTTACTGAGATATAACTTTTTAGGATGGCCATCATTATTCTTATATTATAATGGCTGTCCGTTACCACCTCTGCTATACCCCTGTGGGTGGATTAACCCTGCCACCCTGGGACCTGCAATGTTCATCATTGTGGTGTGTCTGTTCTGACTCAGTTAGCACCCCAGGAGGTATTAGTTTTTTCCCTTGCACCTTTATTCTCTGTGTTACTAACATTGCAATAAATCTATGGTGACTGTGGAGAGCATGAATGGAGACAAGCACAGACATGCATGTGCATTCTTGAGTGAATTGTATACACCTGAATATCTACATCAATTTCATGTTTTTTTCTAAACAAGGATCTACGGTTTGCAAAAAAAAAAAAAAATGTTCATCATACTATGCAGCAACTAAACTGATCATAACACCCACTTAGAAGTTATTGGTGCACTTAATGCCGTATATACAGTGGCACCTCGATTAATGAGTTTAATCCGTTCCGGCACCAGGCTCATCATGTGGAAAACTCGTCTTGCGAAACGACAACAAAACTGTTGTAAAAGGTGTCCGAGAACCAGCGGAAACACTCGTTAATTGAGGAAAAGCTCGTTAGTAGAGACAAATGTTCTGCGAGTGGCTCGCTCGTTACTCGAAATGCTCATAGATAGAGCCGCTCGTTAATTGAGGTGCCACTGTATATATATATATATAGCACTCAGATCTAATTGATACTGCCACTTAGGTAAGTTATGAAAGTAATTTCTTTACTACCAGATCACATGCAAATTCAACATAAATTTACTCGATACATTGGCACATATATGTACACTCCTATCACAAACATATTAATATATTTTAATAATTAATTTTGTCGAGGACAGACAGCCTGAGTGTTGTGTTGATTTAGGGGTGACGATCGTGGGATCGGATGCGCCCCATCCTGAGTGTAATATTTATTTATTTATTTTATATATATATATATATATATATATATATATATATATATATATATATATATATATATATAATTAATTAGGTTTATATCAAGGTCCCCCAAGAATAAACTATTGACCTTCCCCAGAAAGCAACTCCATAACAGTTGACTAACTTCTATTTACTGCTGGGTGAACAGTACATTAGATGAAAGGAAACATGCTCAACAATTTCTGTCCCACCAAGGATTTGAACCTGGAAATCCTGATTGGGAGTCAAGAATGAACCCAACTGTACTACAATGAGAGTGTTCAGAAGTACGAATAGAAGTTTCTACCTGTATTTTTGTAAGCTGTTACCTACCTCAGTGTATTTTAAATCCTTACCCAAATAGTATATTATCAGCTTACAATCAACCAATCAATTTCCATCCAGGTTCCTAAATTATTGCTGGGTGCACACGAATAAATGGTATGAAGAAACCATACCACAAACCTTAAGGAAGTTTGCCTCTATACCTGTTACTATTATCAACTTCTTTCACTTATCTCATTAATGACTACTTCTGCCATTTGCGACATATATAATCATGAAATTTCCTGTTGCAAGTTTTGGCCCAACACCTGGATTTGGCCGAATACAATCAATAAATTTATTAGACTTAAAACTTTTCTCCATTTTAACATGGTTATGCCCAAATATTTAATATCATAAGAAACATGAGTAATTTTTCATTCACCTGGGCTCTCGGAGACTCAAACTGCAAACCCTACGCGTGTGTGGCCGAAGCTCTGTTTATCGAGCTCTGAATGAAATGTTTATTTCCACGGAAGTGTGGATGACAAACATGAGTAATAACCATTTAAATATAAGCACTGCATGCCATATGGTAGTAGGCAAATAAAGATTATATCAGTAGTGTAGTGTATAAAAATATGACATGTTGCTACTAAATGTTTAGTTCATGTTGAATATTAAATGCAGTTAAGATAAATATCTATCTAGTACAACAGTTTCATGACTATATTAATATTTTCATTTGAACTATAGATCTATTTATAAGGACCTTACTAAACATAACTACTGAATAGTAATCTAGTCTTGTACTAGAAGGAAATCCTTAATGACTTGAAATCCAGACATTCAAAAACAATCTCCAGTGTACAGAGCAGTACTAAGATATACTATCTATGAGCACCAAAAATTACTTATCCCTAAAGGCCTGTGGAACACCTGCACTGGATTTTCTTCTAATTGACATGAGGTATCTGAAGGTTTCTTTTTGGAGCCAGAATAACTCCTCATCTGGTTAAAGTTCTAGATCCTCTGACTCAACTCAGGACAGGAAATTTCTGTCTATGGATATGGTGAGCAGAGTCGCTGCTTGGCTTTATAACCTCTTGCAAGCTGAGGACCAGAAGAGTATTTGTATCCATACAGTATTTGTGACCAAGATATATATATTGCTAGCTCTACAGGTAGCAACTCCTGAAAGGTGTAAGTGGTTACAAAAACTGTAATTGGGACTGAAATAGTGTGGATGTTGGCATCCAAGCTGCATAGGCATCATAGGATGGTTTATATATTAACATACTGCCAATGTTATTTAGAACATTTTAAATGGTAACAAAACACAAATTAGCTAAATATGAAATGCTTACAAAATATAATGAAGCAATGCACTTAAAAAATATGCATTAAATTTTAAAGTTTAAACCATCCTCTGAGCTTTTGGGTGCTACAGTATATTACTTGGAAAATATTTAAAGTACAATACATGTAGAAGTTGCTGCATAGGCACCTGGTAAAACAGACTAATTACAACTAGTGTGGGGACAGTTTACCTGCTGTCACGTTGGAAGTAACCCTTTTCACCTTCTAGTATGTCCTCACGATTAAGCGAACGTGTGCGGCGCTGCAGACTGATTAAAAATTTGACTCAGCCACAAAAATCAGTTGCAATTTTTCTAAATACAATAGTGCATATAAAATTAGGGGAATGGACATTGGTAAATGAGAACGTATCTAACATGCACATTTTATTTATTTAAAATAGAAACACAACTCTGTTACTGTAGATGAATCAGTACAAAATTCTTATCACTCTTTCCAAATGAAAAACAAACAAGTGATATCATCTCACTCACCTTCTTTGCTTCTGAAATCTTCTAACCTCTTTAAGAATGCTTCTTATCATTGGAGAGTACCGTATCTGGAACTGTGACTGTGGAGAGAATAAGTACATTAATTTAATTTCCACATGTACAGTGGTACCTTGGTGTACAACTGCCCTAGAGTACAAATTTTTTGGTATACGTCAAATGTGTAGTAAAATTTGAATTGGTGTATGACGTTTTCCTTGGAATACGATGTCTGTTGATAAGTGTTTGGGTCAAACGAGCTCGTGGTGCTGGGGCGTGGGGCAATTGTTTACCAATGTATCCCGCCTACCCATCCAGTGATGACTGCACTTGAATTCTATGTAAAGAATTTCAGTGTTTTTGGGCTTTTTGGTTTCTGAACATAAAAGTTCTTATTATATATCCAATCATGTGTCCCCAAAAAGTCAGTGGTAAAGTTCAACCTAAGAAAACAGTTGTGAGGATGACAATAGAAGAAAAAGAAGAGATAATTTGTAAACATGAAAATGGTATGTGGGGTTGTTAATGCCCCTTCCTCATTAATTAAGGAAATGTGTGCAGTATGGGAAGAACTGCAAAAGTTTTGCTGAAAAGAGTCACCCAGATAAAACTGTAACAGGCTGTTGCATTAACCTTTTAATGACAATGTGATGACTCACCTGAAAAGTGTTAAAACGTAGGGAAAAACAAATGTCAATAGACAGGGTTTTAGTGAGACAAACAAGCAGTGAGCCACAACCAGGTGTTGGTTGTATGCCTGCAAAACCGTACCCCAGAAAGGTCATCACTGCCTGATGTTATAATGGAAGGGGGGGACTCCCCTTTCAAACACTAACACCTCTATCCCTCCCACCCCCTTTATCACTGTCTTCCATATGCCAAAAAGAGTCCTCAATAAATGTGAGATATACATACTGAATTGTAGTACAAAATAAGTTGTATTTGGTATAAAATGAATTTTCAAGTTAGTAATTTTTGGGGTGTGGAACAGATTAATTCAATTTACATTATTTCTTATGGGAAAATTTGTTTTGGTTTAAAAAATTTTTGTGTATGTCGTGCGTCTGGGAACGGATTTGGATCGTAAACGAAGGTACCACTGTATATCCATTCAAGAAACATTACAGTTACAACATACAAAATGTTTGTATATTTTAAAAAGTCATGCCAAGAAGGAAAATAGAAAAGCTTATTTGGATAAAAATTAATTAAGCATAAGTCAATGAAAATTTACTTATATATATTTATACTAATACTGTACAATGCACACATACCTTAAATAAGATAACAAAAATACATGTAAAGAAAGATGCACAAAAAAGGAAGCAGCTTTACATAGAATATAAAAAGAGAAATAACTACATAATACTAATGTTAAGTGGACTTTCAATGATGTACAACACACAAAACTGAAGCAGTGATCAAGGACTTTCAATCACAAGTGAATTATATCACATTTGAGTACAGTACTGTACTACCTATTACAATCCCGTCTCTCTCTGTCCTGATCTATGTAGCCATTCTTTTTATGTAGTCTAGCTTAACTAAGTTGTAAACACCTACAGTCTGTTGTAAATATATAGTGGAAGTGCCTGTTATGCATGCTCAAAGGTTAATGAAGTGATTTGTAAGAATTGATTGTAACATTGTTCTGAGAGTCAAGCATCAGCCCAAGTAAATGTGATTCAATTTTAAGTGCCAGTTAGATAACAAGCTCTCATCAAGTATGCTTGAATCCAACAATTCTGAGTAATGATAGGAAGCCATGAGATATTTGGAAAAAAGAGAGGTAACCAGCTGCTGTTCTCTGCCAAAAACAGACCACAATATAAAACAGTTGGTGACTGATTGTCGAATGAACGGCTACATTTATTACTATGCCCATGAGCATCTTTACATACTGGGTAATAATAATACAAATAATAATAATAATAATATTAACAATAATAATAATTTGGAAATATTGTAATATACAGTAGTTATGTAACAAAATTACAGTATCACAAACAATTATTTTCACAATATTATTTCTGGCCGGGCCACTCAGTCATTTCCTGTTGCTAACCACTCTGGTTAGCTCCTCAACTATGGAGTCACACCTTACAGGCCCTGTAAGGAAGGGACATTCTATGGATATTGTGATGGAAACTAAACTGTAAATGTGGATTCTAGTGAAAGGCAGGCTTTTAAAACTCACATCTAAGTTCAGTAGCAGCTAAGCTGCACATGCACAGTGGTGTACAGTATTTACAATGGGTAAACCCTATCGTCTAAGAGCACACAAAGAAGTGTTGCTATATCTAAAGAAAAATTCCCAAGTATATTATATGATAGAAATTCTTATGAGAATGTAAGTTTAAATGTAGAAGCCCAGTTCTAGACTCTATCAGGGATAAAAAACCAGCATTGAATGTAATGAAACGCCATTTCTGGGCGAAGCCCTGGATGCTCCTCGAATCTATCCAAACAGATATGTGCTATGTTAGTTTGGGGTCATCAATCACAGGAGTTCTTATGCCTACCGGGAACCACGGGCCAGAACCTGGTCCCCCTCATTCAGCGAAGGTAGCAATGGCGTATGAGCACTTTACACTTAAAGTACTGTATGTCATATTCTGCCATCGACTGGGGTGGACACCCAGAAAGATAGGCGAACCAAAACAAACAACTAGCTGGTAAAATTGCTACCTACAGCCAGAAAAGCAAAGAAACATCTGCTAAAATAAAATAAAATAATAGAAACTAGCAACCTTACATGTAACTAGTACTCCCACTCGTTAGCATAACCCCTTCGCCCGATAAGGGGGCTGGGGGAGCCGTCCTACCACCTCAGTTCTAGGCCCGATGTAAAAAAGTGCCGACCGGAGGGAGGGAGGGAGGGTGTCAGGGAAGCCTGACATCCTGATACTCAAGTTATGCCCAAAAGGTTCTGTGTATTAGTGGCCTGTACATACTTTGTAACAATTATTAAACCACTGTATAGTATATTATTCTTTTGAATATTTATAAATATAAATTATTATTACTATTATTATTATTATTATTATAAATATACTAGTGATATAGCATGATTTGTATTCTGTACTTTCTATTGCTAAAGTAACTATAAACAAAAAGCCTAAATGATTAACAATAAAAACAACACAAACATTTACACTCACCTCAGTGTTAATCAAAGGAGGATGTACGAAGTAGGAGAGAAGGACAGGTAAAGGTTTCTGCTAATTAAAACTAACAATATGGTAACATATGTATACATGAATTAAATTAATAATCAAAACTAAGTACAGTTTTAAAGAAATATGTAATCAAATGTATTTGTCATGAAAGAAAATAGAGTTCAAGTACAATTGAAACAATATCCGTGAATATAAATTTTATATAAATTAGAAATGGACATTACCATGAGAGCCACTGTGAGCTTTAAAAAAAGGTAAGATTAAATAACCTTACAAAACAGAAGCACATGGCAAATAACATAAGTGAAGCATGATAGTGAAAGATGAGCTGAGACGTATAGACTCTCGGGTCCAGACACACACACACACACACACATTGGTGCTATCTTGACACCAATAATAAGGAAAACTGTTAAAAAAATAAATCAATGATTCTATAACACATGTAACTCAAAGCACAGTTACCAGTTGAGGAAATGTATACCTGATCCAATATGACCTGATGAAGCCATAAACCAACAAGTAAAGATTCAAGATTCCTATTTATATTACATGCATGTTTTGCAGGGATGTACGGTAATAATGATAAACTGTAAATATTATTTAATGATAAAAGGAAGGATCACAATTATCAAACAATTATTACAGTCGAATAATATATAATTTAACAAAGATAATATAATACAGTATTGGGAATGCAGGATACATAACTCTGAAATGATGCATATTAACAAATCACAGAATATTTCAGCAGAAACAGTTATAAAAACATGTCATTGTGACCATCTTATAAAGATGGCTATAAATACTTAATATGATGGAGTGAAATTAAAACTGGAATTTAACCAGGATATCTTTGTTATATTATCAACAGTATTTTTCTTGGTTTCTTATGAATATCTTAAAACATTAGTTAAATAGTGTTGTTATAACTGCTTCAGGAAAATTACATTTACTTTACAGCAGGAATCTATAATATTTCTACTTATAGCAAAACAAATTTTGTACTGCAAAATTGTCTAAGGATACAACTTTTAACCAAGGATAAAACATGTCACATGCACAAACATATTAGAAAACTGGGCAAAAATATTTCCAATATGTGATCAAACAACCAATCATTAACTACAACTAACAATATGACATAAAATGGAATATACAGTACAGGTACAGTACTTAGGAATAAAAGCATAACTAATTTTGGATCAGTGTCAAGTCTAAATGTATACAAATATTTGACTTATGTTTGACTTTGAGATTCAGTAATATACGAACTATGGTTGCTAACTTACCGGTAGAGGTGCAGCTCGCATCTCTCTCAAGTCTAGGTTCCTAAAGAAATCCAGGCAGAGGATTTCTTCAACACTTGGGTACTGGTCACCATTACCAAAAATGTACTCCAACACCTGCACCACCTGTGGGTAATTAAGAGACTGCTATTATTGCCTACAAGGTTCATGTAAATTTATATTTTCATCAGGATTTATAAGAAATAAATATTAAAAAATATAGTACAATTGATGTTTATTATGCACTGAATATCTGTACTGTATTGTGAATGGCTGTGAAAGAGTTGCACAAGCCCAGAGTGGGTTTTTAGTCTAAAAACGTGCTTTTTCACCCACAGGATTATGAACCATGGAACAGTCTACCCACCTTAGCCATAAATCCCAAAATTCTGCTGAACTTCAAAATCCAGCTTGAAAAAAATCATCAGGACAAATGGAGTCACCTTTGACAAGTTGCCAGCTTCCTGTCCTCATGGAGGCTACTAGTGTATTTGTGGCCATCAGGTAAATAACATTAGATAAATAACATTAGAGTAGTTGTTGTTGATTTAGGGGTGACGACGATCATGGGACCGGATGCGCCCCGGCGTACCCGTTAAGGGTCAATCGCGAAGCCAGGAAAGGTGAAACAAGAAACGCACAGTCAGGCAGATGATTGGGGAGTCCCAGGAGTCCCTCAGGGTGACAAGCACCGGCCCCGCTTGTTACGGACCCGAGCCCAACGTCCGAGCACGGAGCAGTGACGACCACGCCATCTGTGGGTCAGCTCCCGAAACCCCCTCCAAATGGACGGCGCCATCAAGTGAGGACAGGAAATACCAGCCACAAGGGCTAGTTTCCCGTCCTAATCAGCTCATAACACAGCCGCTGCTGACCTCTGGTGAGGTGGAGTTTAGATAGCAACGCCATCTATGGAGTGGATAGATGGGCGTTTGAGTCTGAGCCGGTAAGTGACGTGCCCTAGAGTGTCCCGATTACTGATGACGTGTCTGATTACAGAGTCGACCTGGGACTGCTGTAATGGAAGTTGGATCAGTCTACCCAAGGCAGCCGTCTTGTCTCCAAGTGTTTACTGCAACAGCTGTGAGTCGCCCCCCGGATGAACACTGTGGTGTTAGCCTGTCCGTGACGTGGCAGCTGAGGGATTGTAGTACCCGGGACTGACTGGTGGAGACGCTTAACCACTGGGGTGTTGTGGCGAGGAGAGTGGTCTGTGGGATCACACGAGGCTCCTGACTCGGGTTTGCGACCTTAGTATCGATCGTGGAGTGGCCTAACCAGCGTTGCTGATTGGAACCTGCCAGCTACCGGCTGGACTTGTGGTTGATGGCCTCCACGACGGTGCCCCCAGTGGAACTGTAATTTGGCTGGCCTGTGGCCAGGGTAGACTCAAGAGAATCGAAGGATTCGTCGTGAGGCCACAAGAGGACCAAGAGCTTAGCCTTGTTGAGCACCGTGAACGTCCAGAGTCTTCAGAGGAAGACTACGTTGTATATAATAGTGTTTAACCCCCCCCCCCCTTGTGTAACCTTTTATATATTTATGGTGACGGTAATAATTATATTATTAAGTTTTTGCCTTTATTTCCCTTCCCCTTTAATTTACTTGCGTTACGGATCACATCCCTTGAAAGCCACTACTGGCTTGGGGCCGGATACCCTTCCTCTAACAACAGCAGAGAAAGAACCCGGTTGCATCCCGAGAGGGCCGTAACACCGCTCCACACAGAGAACACCAGGTAGCAAAACCAAAACTCTGCCCCCAACTAAAACGCAAAAAGTCATCCAGTGTCCTCCGGCAGAGCAGAAGCCAGCCGCCCACCATGACTGAGGGCACACCAGGAACCCACCAAGACCCACCAACCTCCGGCACCTCTCGGCCAAGCCGGCCCCCGAACACCGTCACCCCGCCGGCAGAACCAGCCAGAACACGCCAAAAACAAAACAAAGATCTATCAACAATCCTGTGACCCAAGGCGATATGTGCGCCAGGCGTCGTACAAGCGGACCGTTGAAGAGGGAAGCCAAACGGCAGTAGCAAAGTCAAAACGCGAAAACAGAACGTGATCCGGCGGCTCCCAGGCGGAGGTGTCCAGACGTCCGCTCGGCGTCAAGGTTGAACCAGGAGTCCCAATATTAGAGCTTACATTCTTGCAAAGCCACACGCATAGTATTTCGGGCAGGGAAACTGACCAAAATTAACAGTTGGACTGGAGAATCTTACTGTTAAGCTCACCTGTGGGTAATTAGCGATATCCTCCAGGTGTTTTGGTGTTGGGTGGGCGGAAGAGAGCTCGTACCCTGCACACATCTCGAAAATTACGTGACCTGGAAGATGCAAGGGTAAAGCAGAGAGGAGAAGAGGAAGTGGAGAGAGAGAGAGAGAGAGAGAGAGAGAGAGAGAGAGAGAGAGAGAGAATGGGATATGGGGTAGGGGTGGTTGGGGGGGGGGAAGAGAAGAAAGAAGTGTTGCTTAATTGTTAAATTCATCAAATTAAATTTCACTCGCTGGGCACATTCACCTTCTCTATGGAAGAATAAAGTGAAATTATATTTAGTACAAGTAATTCTGTGTCTAGCTTAATTTTTGTAAATTATACATTGAATCAAACACTGCACAAGACGAGCAGAGTTTATTATTAACGAGACATTTCACTACAAAGTATATGCTTAAATTATATCTCAGTATAGAAATTCTCTGCCTCATAATACCACAAGACAATTAGCTAAGGCCCTATGACAACCCAAATACAGCAACTCGACTATGGCCCAACAAAAGAACACTGTTTCCCAAAAACGGTGGGTTTTCTGAGTGGAAGAGAACGTATGTCTGGAAGCTGACTTTAACCGCCCCAAGCTGCGCGCGCATTGACCCGAGGTTATATAAACCGGGACGGAGACGGCGTGGGCCCCTTCCCAAGCCAGCAGCTGCTCTTACATAACGCCCACCCTCCTCCCGGGATCCTCTGCATCCCCTGTTTTAATTTTGAAAGGGACGGCCCACAGATGTGCTCAAGGGGCACTTGCTCTAGCATGCTAAGCATTTGCTGTATCTTTGGGGGTGCTCCGCCGGAACCCCCAAAGTGATAAGCCTGCAGATAGCTAAGAAATATTCCCATGAATTGTAATTAGTCTAATTAATGCAACTTTCATTTACTACCTATGGATGTAGTTATTAATTGTAATTGATCTCTACTTTATCATTAAGGATTATTCATTATAATTATTCCTTAATACTTTATTGTTATGCACTAGTCAATAATTATTTATCATTCATCCTAATTAGCTATTTGATTCATTAAAAATAATTGCTTATCATTATACTATTTGTTATTATTATTATTTATTATATAATAATAATTTTATTATTTATTAATTTATTATTTATTAATTTATATAATAAATTAATTTATTATATATTAATTTATTATATATTAATTTATTATATATTAATTTATTATTTACCATTATAAAATAAACAAGTCCCCAATCTGAGCACGTTTTCTTCCAACCTCAGAAACAGCTAAACACAGTAAATACATCAGTCTAAGGCCCTATAACAGCCAAAATAGAGCCTATACAGTACTACAACTAAGGCCCTACAACAGCCTAAACACAGCAAATACATCACTCCAACTAAGACCCAATAACAGCCAAAATCGAACTATACAGTACTACAACTAAGGCCCTACAACAGTCAAAATACAGTTAAGTCCAACTATATCCTAAAACATCTCAAATGAGCTGACACAGATTTCCACATTGGTTTCAACTTTATGCTACTAAAGAAAAAGTTATCTCCTCGATAATTGAGCTATAATAATGAAGTAGGAACCTAGGATAACCCTACCAGAGACCGGATAAAGCTATGTCAGCCTAATCAATAATTAATAATAATTGTGTTGGGGGACAGGCAGCCAGTTTATACATACAGTACATGTTTGCCTTATATCGAGGCCCCCTTCCCCCATCATGGTCGAAGTACTATAACCCCACAAGAAGCTGACTAACTCCTGGGTACCCATTCACTGCTAAGTGAACATGAACATTAGGTGATAGGAAGCAGGCAAAACCATTTCTCTCCCGCCTGGATAGAAATCAAGACCCAGCTAAAGCCACTGGCGCCCTTCCGCAGCATTGACAGGGAACTGCAAATCTGCTAAAGCTACCACCTGATACTGGAGTGTTGGCAACACTCCCTCAAACATAATAAAAGTGACTCAGCGTTGCTAAAGACGACACAGACTCAAAGCTACCATGTAGCCTCAACAAAGCTGCCATGTAGCCTCAACAAAGCTACCGTGTAGCCTCAACAAAGCTGCCATGTAGCCTCAACAAAGCTACCTTGTAGCCTCAACAAGCTGCCATGTAGCCTCAACAAAGCTACCATGTGGCCTCAACAAAGTTGCCACAGTACAAACATAGTTATCTTGGTCTAGGCACAAATACTGCATCCTCGAGAAAGCTACCACAGCTTAGACCAAAGTGTCCCGATATAACCAAGAGAGCGCTATATAGGAGAGCGTAGTAGTGGCGGCGGCCGAGGCAAGACATACCGAAGCACACGGAGTCGATAGCGTCTCTGTTGTCTCTGAGGCGGCGTTTGATGATGGGGTAGATCCTGGAGGTGAGCCCCAGCAAGGTGTTCTCCACCCCCGACAGTCTGGGGAGACAGGCACCAGTCAGTTCGGGTGACAGGCACCAGTCAGTCGGTGGAGGAGACAGGTTCGGATCATTGAGGGGAGACATGCACCAGTTTGTAGGAGAGACATGTACAAGTTAATAGGGAGAGACAAGCACCAGTTAATAGGGAGGATAGGCCCCCATTAGTTGGGAGGACAAACACCTGATAGTGGGGGAGACAGGCACCATTAGTAGAGGAGAGGGGGGGGGGGAGGTGGAATTAGAGACAGACATGTTGTAATGTCAAATATTAAAACAAATATCTTTCGTTTATTAGAAATTTATATTAATATTGTATCAGTTAAGAATGTGAGGATATTCCTCAAACATTCTTGGTAAATAAATATTATGTTACTGTAAATAAGGTCGTGATACAATCACCATGCATCAGCATCATCACTTTACTACAATACTTATACAGTATAACAAGATAAAGATATTACTTATTACTATACATGGTGAAACTAATATTAGTTAAAATTATATTATAAATTATTTTTCTCGCTAAGGATGTATTATATTCACTTTGTTTTTATATAGCAACTCAACATAGTGATGTTATGTCTCGGATACTGCTAAGCAAACTCTAATTGTGTAAACACTTTTATAGGAATTATACGCAACCTGTTGTTGTATTGGTGATTTAGTAACAGTATTCAGGCGAGTGCTGGAACACGAGAGTGTAGCAGACACGCCTAACTCACTCTCTTTACCCCAAGTGTACCATTACTGTACTCTTCCCCTAAGCCATTTACAAATCTGAAGCTCTCTCTTTTTTCCATTACCAAAATACATTTCATATTCCTCTCAGCCTTAAAAATATTCTACTTTCGCTCGCAGAATGAGTGCAGACATCGTGTGCACGGGCGGCAGAGTTCCCATTTTTTTCTTAGAATTTGGAGAAACTTTTAGGATTCCAAAGGATTGCAACAAGACTATTGTCCGGGTTTAATGTTTAAAGCCACGGTGATAAATTTAAATAAAACGCAATCTAACAACTCTAAAAACGAGAAGGAGCGAAGGAGGATATAATCACAACATACAAAATACTGAGGGGGAATAAACAAGGCAGACTAGGACAGCCTCTTTCAATTGAAAGGAGTGGTTAAATGGCATACAATACAAGAAGTCACAGAGGTCACCTCCACCACAGAACCAGAATGTAAACAAAAGGTAAATACACGAAGTAAAAGTCTAGCCCAAAGAACTATTTATCATCTGTAGATACTTACTGAAGCGCACTCCCCTCATCACAGCCTACCCATCACCACCCAAATACACCAGCTTCAATACCTACCCTCCTAGCCACAAAGCCTTCCCGGCTTGGTGCCTTCTTTTGATAAATACTTACTTTACCTACCCTCCTCCCGCCCTGCTCCTTATTGTCTGAATTGCGTTGTCCCTCTTACAGTTGTGCATATCCTTGTTGAATGTCCTGACTTCCAGGACGAGCGTGTGTCTTGCTTTCTGACCGTCCCTCGCGGTCGCTTGTCCCTCGATAGAATTCTAGGTGAATCGGATACTTTTGATATCGTTCGCCTTATGCGTTTTTGTTCTCGTATTGACATTCTTGGTGATATTTAGCGCCCTCTGATTATTTCGCACTTTGATAGTGCTACATAGCCTTCCCGGCTTAGTGTCTTCTTTTGATAAATACTTACTTTACCTACCCTCCTTCCGTTCCTCCCTCCAAAGCGTCTTTACCTTCCCTTTACCGACCTTCTCTTTCTCTCCCCAAGGCCCCCCGGTCCTCCCTAGGCAGGTAGTCCCCGCCGTCCAGAACACCGTCGCCACTACCACCAACGCCTAGCGAGCTGAAAATCGATGAGACAAAATTGAAGTGGAAGGCATGGTTTCCAAAGGCCTGGACGTGTGCTGTAGGAGACCTGCCAGGGAAGCGGTGAAGGACGGCTCGAAAAAACGGCGTCATAAGTCTAGAAGAACTGTGGTACGTCTGGAAAGTCAGTGTGGGAGGCCAGGAAGGATGGTGTGGGAGGCCAGGAAGGATGGTGTGGAGGCCAGGAAGGATGGCGTGGGAGACCTGAAGGGTCAGCGTGGGAGGCCAGGAAGGATGGCGTGGGAGACCTAAAGGGTCAGCGTAGGAGCCCCATATTTTGTATTCAAATCACTTTTATTTCTCATCTGTGTCTGTACCGTGTTCTCAGAAGCACAGATGCGGTGCACCTCTTATCAGACTCCTCACTGTAACAAGACAATATAATCCTTGCGCTCTACTTCCCTTGCCTGGGATGATGGTCCTCAGTCCCCAGAGCCTCGAGTGTCTCCTTGACTCACAAGAGCCACAAGTCCGCAGAGCCTCGAGTGTCACCTTGACTCACAAGAGCCACAAGTCCGCAGAGCCTCGAGTGTCACCTTGACTCACAAGAGCCACAAGTCCGCAGAGCCTCGAGTGTCACCTTGATTCACAAGAGCCACAAGTCCGCAGAGCCTCGAGTGTCACCTTGACTCACAAGAGCCACAAGTCCGCAGAGCCTCGAGTGTCACCTTGACTCACAAGAGCCACAAGTCCGCAGAGCCTCGAGTGTCACCATGACTCACAAGAGCCACAAGTCCCCAGAGCCTCGAGTATCACCTTGACTCACAAGAGCCACAAGTCTCCAGGAAATCCAGTCCCACATTACTCGCTGAGAGCCCTCCCTTACCCCCTCCATCCCTCTCTCCTACGTCAATATTTACTCATCAACCAAGAGCTATTGACCTACAAGCTTAGGGAGCAGCTGGAGGAAATTTGTCGTCCTTATGAAGGCCGCTTCCTTATAAAACTACTTTTTTGTGTATCTACATCCATGTGAGTGATTAGCGGCCTTATACAAAATATTGTAATGATTTGCCATGTTTGAATACAAAGAAATATAATCAATGTATATATTCCTATGAACATTATTATTGTTATATTGGAAGGAGGTATAACACAAGGAGATTTTTGTTATTCTAGGTAAACACCAGGCGGCGCTATCTGTAATTTACCCAAGACACGTACCTGGCGACGCCGTTTTGGAGGACGACGTTGCCGGAATGGAGGTGTCCGCAGGGAGGAAAACCTCGGTCCTGAAGGAAGAGGAGCGCCTCCAGCACCTGCCGCCCCAGCCGCTGTACCTGACCTACTGGCAGACCTGCCGACCGCTGCTGGTACTTCTCGCTCCAGTCGTCCTGCCAGTGACTCTGAAAATACACTCTACAGGTAGCGTCCAGACCAGTGATAGATGGAGCTGGACGTGTGGCAAGGTTAGGTGTGTTGGATCTATCTTGAGATGATTTCGGGGCTTAGTGCCTCCGCGGCCCGGTTCTCAACCAGGCCTCCACCGCCAGGAAGCAGCCCGTGAAAGCTGACTAACTCCCAGGTACCTATTTACTGCTAGGTAACAGGGGCATCAGGGTGACAGAAACTCTGCCCATTGTTTCTCGCCGGCGCCTGGGATCGAACCCGGGACCACAGGATCACGCGCCCAGTGTTCTGTCCGCTCAGCCACCGGCTCCCCTCATACCATACACACTCACTTTTTGAACTGAGACTACGGTTCATTAAGAATGGTTCTGATGTTCCTAATGAAACGGTAAGCTAAGAGCTGTTATCCTACGTCAGCTCATCTGACGCCTCACCCTAGAAACTGATTTATTCAATGACATTATTATTAGTTGTTAATTAGGAATGCACTTTTATTAATGTTAAGTTACAATCATGTTAGGTACAAGATGTAACCTGGAGTCAAATCTGTGCCAGAGTCGTCATGGTAGGGTGACGTTATCTTGAGGTTATCTTGAGATGATTTCGGGGCTTTTTAGTGTCCCCGCTACCCGGTCACCAGGCCTCCACCCCCAGGAAGCAGCCCGTGACAGCTGACTAACACCCAGGTACCTATTTTACTGCTAGGTAACAGGGGCATAGGGTGAAAGAAACTCTGCCCATTGTTTCTCGCCGGCGCCTGGGATCGAACCCAGGACCGTAATTATTCTTTTTAAAGACAGAGCCAGTATGAGGCTGTTGATGGCTGAGGGCCCCGGTGTGCCCCGAGTGCCAACAGCCGCACCTAACAACATGGTGGACAAGTCTACTAACTAAGATATAAGGATGTGTGATACGGTGTAAGGATGTACGAGACGTATAAGGATGTACGATACGATATGAGGATGTATGATGCGAAATAAGAATGTATGATACGATATGTAAATGTAATATGCGATACTTTAAAAGTGTTCCATTAAAAAATTCCCATTATTGTCTGAACGAAATTAACAAAATTGCAATTTTTATATAAAACTAATAAAGTAGAAGTGAGTGTTGTTAACACAGACTTCTTGTTACAGATATCATTGCTTATTATACTGTCTGAAGTATTAAAGAGCTGCTTGCAGTCATCTTGTGCCATCACACAACACTCAGGCGATGAGTCACAATAACGTGACTAAAGTAAGTTGACCAGACCACACACTAGAAGGTGAAGGGACGACGACGTTTCGGTCCGTCCTCGACCATTCTCAAGACCATTCTCAATCGACTTGAGAATGGTCCAGGACGGACCGAAACGTCGTCGTCCCTTCACCTTCTAGTGTGTGGTCTGGCCAACACCAACACTCAGATTCACAGCTCGTGTGATGGGATACAATGAGTAGTCTGAACTACAGCCTTTTTGTGTTGAAGCCAACGCGGTTTCGAACCGCGCAAGGTTCGAACACTGTCAGTGTAGGCCATACTGCCTCTAGACACTAGTTCTAGACACTAACGATCTGACTCTAGACATTGCCTCTAGAACTTGCTGGGTTTCGACAACAGTGCTGGGTGTTAGGGCAGAAGTACCGAAGAGGCAGCCTTGCCTTAAGTGTGCCAGTACATCAAGTGCTGGAGCACAACACTAACCCGTCGCTCCTCCCTCCACCACTCACTCCCTCCTTCACCCTTCTCTCCACCTCTCACTTCAGTCATTAATCACTCCTTCTCCTCCTCCTCCCATCATGTGATGACTCATTAGTCACTGTCGACGACCTCTCTCCCAATCCTTGTCGTCTCTCCCTTCACCATCCTCATTACCACCATTACCATCACCACCACCACCACCACTACCACCATCATTACCACCACCACCACTACCACCACCATTACCACCACCACCACTACCATCATCACCACCACCACTACCGTCCTACAATACTCACCCTGTAGATTAGGTCCTTGAGCGTGCCCTTGTTGTTGTGGGGGATGACAGTGATGACGTAGGTGCAGGAGGAGATGTTGGCGAAGTCCACGTCCAGCACCGGGTAGATGTAGGGGTGGTGGAGCGCCTGAGGGTGGACACACAACCTCTTACTTGCTTATTATTGTAGGAAAACTCTGTCTCTCTACACACACACACACACACACACACACACACACACACACACACACACACACACACACACACACACACACACACACACACACACACACACACACTTTTCTGTTTATACTAATTCTCTGATCTATTTTAAATAACTAAGTCATAATCCAAGTACGGATAACCGCGTTCTCCCCCTCAATTCTACAGGCAGAAAGTCATCTATGTTAAGGGCCATTTGTACTTTTCTTTTAACAATAATGATATTATAAGTTCTTACAATAAATAAATCTAAGTCTGTTTTCAAGTACCTTCTGAGTTCCTAAATGTTTAGTCGCAGGAAAATTTGCATCAACACATTGCTTTTAAGATGAAAATTAAATATAGTGGAACCAAGTGCTGTATATCATATCTGTCAGTGTTCAACGAGTGCCTCCTGGGTGTACTGACCTGGAAGAGTTCAACGAGTGCCTCCTGGGTGTACTGACCTGGAAGAGTTCAACGAGTGCCTCCTGGGTGTACTGACCTGGAAGAATTCAACGAGTGCCTCCTGGGTGTACTGACCTGGAAGAGTTCAACGAGTGCCTCCTGGGTGTACTGACCTGGAAGAGTTCAACGAGTGCCTCGCGGGTGCCTTGAGTGACTGGGAAGGGGCACTGGTCGTCAAAGGGCTGGAGGGTCATAAGTCGATCCGTCTTCACAGAGGAGTCACGGATCATGAACCAGTTCTTGTCGATCCTCGACCCTGTAAGAGATGGCAAGCACAGGCTGGATTAGTACATGGGGTCTCGTTAGTGTTTAACGTCCTGTATGTTCTCTGTCTCTCTCAAAGCCTCTTTGATGACCAGGCCACACACTAGAAGGTGAAGGGACGACGACGTTTCGGTCCGTCCTGGACCATTCTCAAGTCGAGTGTATATCGACTTGAGAATGGTCCACGACGGACCGAAAGTCGTCGTCCCTTCACCTTCTAGTGTGTGGCATGGTCATCATACTTTAGCCACGTTATTGTGACTGATCGTCTGCAAAGCCTCTTTGCTTTTCCAATACATTATTTTCCTGTCTGTCAGATTCTCTATATCTTTAACTTCGCGAGTGAGCCAATTTGGTCTTCAGCGGGTATAATTTCGTCTGTATGTAATGTGAATAATTTAATCTGAATGTAACGTGTATATTTTTATCTGTATGTAACATGTATAATTCCCTCTATCTATGTATGTAGCGTGTATAGTGTTATTTGTAATTACTATGTATAGCGTTTCCCACTCAGGGATTGAACCCGGGATCCTAAATTGTGATTTCAGAACGACCATAATACAAGATCATCTATGTTCATTGTGTATAATTACTTGTGTTTGTAGTATGTTGATATACCTCTGTGTATAGTGCGTATATTCTGTTTTAAGAGACTTTTAGTTACAATATAATTTTCAGTTTATTTAATAATTTCCATTATTAATTATTACTATTTCGGTAATTTATTTTATTAATGTTTAAACACAAGACGTCAAAATACGTTTCTCGACAATGATCTTTACTAACAAAAACAAGAATTTATAATTAAAATACATTATATATGAATGAATAAATACACCCCCACAATATTTATACACCCCATACATACACCCTCACCCCATACATACACCCTCACCGCATACATGCAGCCCACACATCTCCAACCAATACATATACCCCACCCCACACCCCATACATACACCCCCACCCCCCATACACCACCCCTACACACACACACCCCATACACACACACCCCGCACGCACGCACGCACACACACACACACACACACACACACACACACACACACACACACACACACCCCCAGAGGCGAGGGGGGAACTCACAACCAGCTACCCAGTAACGCCAGAAGGGAGGACAACCCCGCCTCCCTCCTCTGCATAGAAAACCCCCCTACCCCAAACCCTCCCTGCCCCCACTCAAATGTTCAGCAAAATCTCCCTCCCCCCACACCCAATCCCCACCCTTCTACCCCTCCCCTCCTCCCGAGTCCTCCCTCCCCCCCTTTCCTTCCCGTCCTCCCTCCCCTTTCACCCCATACCCTCCCTGTCCCTCCCCCTTCACTGGATCCCCCGCACCTCATCCCAGTATCCTCTGAGACCCTGTTATCCACCTCACAGGTCCTCACACCCATGGAACAGCCTCCCCCACCAGCAGAACACTCACCAAGGAGGCGATTTGAGAAGGGACAGAAGAAAGTGAGCCTCAAAGCGATGTACACAAACATAGATGGAATTACAAATAAAGCAAATGAGCTTGGAGAACTTGTACTAGAGGAAAACCCAGACATAATAGCCCTCACAGAAACAAAGATCACGAAAACGATAACAAATGCAGTGTTCCCACAGGACTATTATGTTATGAGGAAAGAGAGGGAAGGAAGAGGTGGGGGTGGTGTAGCTCTGCTGGTAAGACAAGGCTGGGATTTTGAGGAGATGGATATTCAGGGCTGTGAAGGTTTTAGTGACTACATAGCAGGTACTGTAACAAATGGAGGGAAAAAAATTATAGTCGCAGTCATATATAATCCACCACCAAATGACAGAAGACCTAGACAGGAATATGATAGAAACAACATGGCCACCATTAACATAATAGAAAGAGCAGCTTCTGTTGCTAGCAGGAATGGATCTGGACTACTAATTATGGGAGACTTCAACCATGGGAAGATAGATTGGAAGAACAGAGACCCGCATGGAGGACCAGAAACATGGAGAGCTAAGCTGCTGGACGTGGCAACAAGAAACTTTCTAAGCCAGCACACCAAAGAACCAACAAGAATGAGAGGAGAAGATGAACCAGCAATGCTTGATTTGATATTTACCCTAAATGAATGGGATATAAGGGAAGTTAAGATGGAAGCGCCCTTGGGAATGAGTGACCACAGTGTATTGAACTTTGAGTACCTGGTAGAGCTAGGACTTATCTCCCCCCAAAAAGAACTAGGAATCAAAAGGCTGGCATACCGAAAGGGGAATTATGAACAGATGAGAAGTTTCCTAAGTGAAATACCTTGGGACACAGACCTCAGAGACAAGTCTGTACAGGGTATGATGGACTATGTTACCCAAAAGTGTCAGGAGGCAGTAAACAGGTTCATCCCGGCCCAAAGGGAAAAATCCGAGAAGCAACAGAAGAATCCATGGTATAATAGGGCATGTATGGAAGCGAAGAAACTGAACAAAAAGGCGTGGAGGAACTTCCGGAATAACAGAACACCAGAAAGCAGAGAGAGATACCAGAGAACCAGGAATGAGTACGTCAGGGTGAGAAGAGAAGCAGAGAAAAATTTTGAAAATGATATAGCAAACAAAGCCAAGACCGAACCAAAGCTACTCCACAGTCACATCAGAAGGAAAACAACAGTGAAAGAACAGGTATTGAAACTTAGAACAGGCGAGGACAGGTATACAGAGAATGACAGAGAGGTGTGTGAGGAACTCAACAAGAGGTTCCAGGAGGTCTTCACAATAGAACAGGGTGAGGTCACTGTGCTAGGAGAAAGGGAGGTAAACCAGGCGGCCTTGGAGGAGTTCGAAATTACGAGAGAGGAGGTCAAGAGACACCTGCTGGATCTGGATGTTAGAAAGGCTGTTGGTCCAGATGGGATCTCACCATGGGTACTGAAAGAGTGTGCAGAGGCACTTTGCCTGCCACTCTCCATAGTGTATAGTAAGTCACTAGAGACGGGAGACCTACCAGAAATATGGAAGACGGCGAATGTGGTCCCAATATACAAAAAGGGCGACAGACAAGAGGCACTGAACTACAGGCCAGTGTCCTTGACTTGTATACCATGCAAGGTGATGGAGAAGATCGTGAGAAAAAACCTGGTAACACATCTGGAGAGAAGGGACTTCGTGACAAATCGCCAACATGGATTCAGGGAGGGTAAATCTTGCCTTACAGGCTTGATAGAATTCTACGATCAGGTGACACAGATTAAGCAAGAAAGAGAGGGCTGGGCGGACTGCATTTTCTTGGATTGTCGGAAAGCCTTTGACACAGTACCGCATAAGAGGCTGGTACATAAGCTGGAGAGACAGGCAGGTGTAGCTGGTAAGGTGCTCCAGTGGATAAGGGAGTATCTAAGCAATAGGAAGCAGAGAGTTACGGTGAGGGGTGAGACCTCCGATTGGCGTGAAGTCACCAGTGGAGTCCCACAGGGCTCTGTACTCGGTCCTATCTTGTTTCTGATATATGTAAATGATCTCCCGGAGGGTATCGATTCATTTCTCTCAATGTTTGCGGACGATGCTAAAATTATGAGAAGGATTAAAACAGAAGAGGACTGTTTGAGGCTTCAAGAAGACCTAGACAAGCTGAAGGAATGGTCGAACAAATGGTTGTTAGAGTTTAACCCAACCAAATGTAATGTAATGAAGATAGGTGTAGGGAGCAGGAGGCCAGATACAAGGTATCATCTGGGAGAGGAAATTCTTCAGGAGTCAGAGAAGGAAAAAGACTTGGGGGTTGATATCACGCCAGACCTGTCTCCTGCAGCACATATCAAGCGGATAACATCAGCGGCATATGCCAGGCTGGCCAACATACGAACGGCATTCAGAAACTTGTGTAAAGAATCATTCAGAACTTTGTATACCACATATGTCAGGCCAATCCTGGAGTATGCAGCCCCAGCATGGAGTCCATATCTAGTCAAGGATAAGACTAAACTGGAAAAGGTTCAAAGGTTTGCCACCAGACTAGTACCCGAGCTGAGAGGTATGAGCTACGAGGAGAGACTACGGGAATTAAACCTCACTTCGCTGGAAGACAGAAGAGTTAGGGGGGACATGATCACCACATTCAAGATTCTGAAGGGGATTGATAGGGTAGATAAAGACAGTCTATTTAACACAAGGGGCACACGTACTAGGGGACACGGGTGGAAACTGAGTGCCCAAATGAGCCACAGAGATATTAGAAAGAACTTTTTTAGTGTCAGAGTGGTTGACAAATGGAATGCATTAGGAAGTGATGTGGTGGAGGCTGACTCCATACACAGTTTCAAGTGTAGATATGACAGAGCCCGATAGGCTCAGGAATCTGTACACCTGTTGATTGACGGTTGAGAGGCGGGACCAAAGAGCCAGAGCTCAACCCCCGCAAACACAACTAGGTGAGTACAACTAGGTGAGTACACACACACACACACACACACACGCACAGCACGTACCAATATCTCGGAGGTGCTCGAGGAGGGCGTAGCGCTGGTGACCTCTGAGGTAGCTGCGGGCGGCCAGGGCGGTGGTGTCCCGGGTGGCGCCTCTCGCCGCCTTCCTCTCCATCTCCAGCCGCTCTCCGGCGCCCTCGTCCTCCAAGGCCGAGTATGAGTATCGCCCGCCATGTCTGTGCACGATGAAGAGATCAAACCTAAGTGCTGGAGGAACAACTTGATGGATACTTGGGACTAAATCAAGTTTTAGTGAGTATAATTATATACACACACACACACATATACATTAAAATGGCATTTAATAATAATTTTATGCGTTAAAGTTATCACATCTGTTGTCGACGGAGAAAATAGGAATATAATTCCAAGAGGAATATCACCAAGATCCAGATAAACCACAAGCGCTTTCTCCACTTTATCTTATTCACGAACACGAGACCCGATTACAGCTTTTAGAATTCTGTGAAGAGATTTCTCGGTAAATTCATTTAATCTCCCTCCTTTTCACTGCGCTGTGCTTGTACATTGCCTCTGACTTAAATGAGATGTCCGAACAAGTTGTCGGAAAACTGAAGATTATGAGGCGTTTTTTTTATTCAGTTTATATCACTGTGGACTGGTAAGGAGTAAATGAAACGCGGGTGGCAGCAACCGTAGACTTCAATCATAGATTTTTTGCCGAAATAAGTTATTTTGAAATTTGCCAAATTCTGGATAATATTTCTTATCAGTTCATCCCACTTTTGTTGTGATAATTGTTGGGTAATATATTTTTATAGAAAAAATGAGAATGACGATTATGAAGAACGCATCGAGAAGTATCTGTAAACTATATTTTTGACCAAATTGAGCAGAAGGTGAATGATGCCGGTTACTGCGTATGATAACACTGTTCTGAACACCACTATCCCAAACGAGTGTTTACGCGTTATTGTGCCTGTGTGTATGTGTATTCGTGTGTGTGTTATAGTGTGCGTGTGAAGCACTTTAGGAGTGTACATGTGTAAGAGTGTACATGTGTAGGCGTCAAGGTGCGAGCGTGTGTAGGAGCTTACGTGTGTAAATGTTTACGTTTGCAGGAGTGTAGGTGTACCGGTTTAAGTGTAAGTTGCTCCGTGTAAACTAGTGAATGCACGCGGAGGGATGTTTTAAACAGCTTCTCTGATGTTTAATAATCACCATTCGCTGCTCCGTCACTAACACAGCTGTACTCTGCTTTATTACGATGCGAGATGACTGAACCGCGCATCAAACACATCAAATATAGTCATTCCACTATTTGTATCTGCTCTGATGAACGCGATTATAGTGAGGATGAATATTTATGATGCTGCGATATTTCTAGATAGGCAAGTAAGTGGCTAGATGTGGAGTGGCTGAGAGAGAGAGAGAGAGAGAGAGAGAGAGAGAGAGAGAGAGAGAGAGAGAGAGAGAGAGAGAGAGAGAGAGAGAGAGAGAGAGAGAGAGAGAGAGAGCAAATTAATTATTATTTATAGCTCATTACCAGTTACGGTGTTATGCATTATTTAAATTAAGTGTTTTTACATTTTTCAATGCTAGTTAATAAGTGAAAGACGTGTGCCTTTCTTATATTTTCAGTGTTAATTCTATGTTTACTTGAAATTAGCATAATTTTATGAAATAAATTAGATTATATATATATATATATATATATATATATATATATATATATATATATATATATATATATATATATATATATATATATATATATACACAAGATCGCAACACCGATCTTTAAAACAATGCAAATCAACCGCTATGAACTTAAATAATATTTTCATATGAACATGTTTTCGGGATTACTCGCTTCGTCAGAGATGCAGGACAGACTGAGGGACAACGTGCACACACACACACACACACACCGGTTCCACCCAGGCAGCAGGGGTGCCACCCCAGCAGTAGGGGTGCCAGCACGTGTTCACCTGGCCCTGCTGAGAGCGTTTTACTATTGATTCCTCTCACTAGTGCTGCCAGTCCATCACCCATCACCCCCCTCCGCCTCCAGGTACTGTCACCACTCCCTCCCCACCCTCCCTAACCTTCTCATGCACAGCTGATCAGCCCCTACACACACACACACACACACACACACACACACACACACACACACACACACACACACACACACACACACACACACACACACACAAAGCACCGACTAATTTTACATTAGATTTTTTGTTTCATTTTTCCATACTGAGACAATCATTTGTTTTTCTCCTCTTCACACACTCACAGAAGCGTGCTGTTGCTTCTTCCTTCTCTCATCAGCACAAACTGTTGCGTGATCACCCACATGTTTACCTTCTCGCCGGCTCCTTTCCTCCCATAACTTACCACTCCTCCTCTTCCCACGACGCCCCACAGCAAGTGCAAAGCTACTGAATGTTCTCCTTTCTTTACACAAGTGGTTACAGGAGTAGACTACTTCTCACTCCTATTAGGAAGCTTAGATGTTCCCCTTCCTATAGCTTATAGTAAGCCTCACTCTATTACCTACCCAGCAAAACAACCCGCCAACCAGTTAACAACCGCGGGATGACAAAGAGCAAATGAACTGTTAGCTTTATGTGAATCGACCACAATAAAAGAACTTTGGATAAAGGAAGCAAGCAATAAGATACAAAAAAAGGGAGCCAAAGAGTTCCTCACGCCTCCCTTCACCACCACATCTCTCCCTGCTCCATCATCTCCCCCTCTCGCTCACCATTTATCTCTCTCCCTCCCACCCATCAACATCTCCCTCCCCATAATCTTCCTCCCACCTCCACTAATGTATTTCAAATGAGGAAGATGGGGGCACTATCCTTCCCTCGCCCACAGCCAATTTCCTGCATTAGCACGTAATGCATTGAACAGGTGTCGAGGGGATTAGGAGAGAGAGAGAGAGAGAGAGAGAGAGAGAGAGAGAGAGAGAGAGAGAGAGAGAGAGAGAGAGAGAGAGAGAGAGAGAGAGAGAGAGAGAGAGAGAGAGAGAGAGTGAGAGAGATTTACGAATGTAGAATGGAAGAATGTAGATTTTAAATCACAATGTTAATACTTTAGTTACTTTTAATTGGCGCCCTGCTGCTTCTCGCCCTCATCGTTCCCTGTGAGCAGTAGTTTATTGTGCACCCCATACTCATTCTGGGAGGTGAAGTGTATTGTGTGGATCTAGATCTCGGTGGAAGCCGAGCTGTGTGATATACTTGCAGGAAAGTCACATTCCAGCTGTGACAACATCTGTCAGACTTCTGACTTTAATAAGAAATGTAAACATCGATGAGTAGCTATGATTCCAACACACAAACATGATGTCAGACGAGGAGCACAATAACAAGGCTGAAATATGTTGAGCAAACCACACACTAGAAAGTGAAGGGACGACGACGTTTCGGTCCGCCCTGGACCATTCTCACAATCGACTTGAGAATGGTCCAAGATGGACCGAAACGTCGTTGTCCCTTCACTTTCTAGTGTGTGGTTTGGTTAACAAACAGTATAACATCAGCAGCATTTGGTAAATATTAAAACGTTACTTAAAAACGTAAAAATTTGCTCATTCACGAAAAATTTATATAGTTACGTAATGTCAAAATGAGAATATGCAGCACCGGCGTGGAATCCACACCTAGTGAAGCACAGAACCAAACGTCATCAATGTATTATGTTTACGATAAGACTTGTGTCTGTATGAGGAGCAGTGAGGACAGGTTAAGAGGACTCACAGGCAACACCTAGATGCCACACACACCCGATATTAATAATAATTATAACTAAACAAGTGTGACAACACTACAGTAACCTTAGACAAGCACAATCGTGCCGACACTCTCACCAACAAAGACACTGGCGCCGACACCAACAAAGACACTGGCGCCGACACTCACCAACAAAGACAATGGCGCCGACACTCACCAACAAAGACACTGGCGCCGACACATATAACGGGGTGAGGGAAGAGAAGCACAGTTTACAGGAAGTTAAGAGAAGAGTTTATATATCTATCACCATATAATCGCCGACCCCACAGTCTGGCGTCTGTCCTCCATTCTCCTTCCTCCTACATCCCCATCTCTCTCTCTCTCTCTCTCTCTCTCTCTCTCTCTCTCTCTCTCTCTCTCTCTCTCTCTCTCTCTCTCTCTCTCTCTCTCTCTCTCTCTCTCTCTCTCTCTCTCTCTCTCTCTCTCTCTCTCTCTCTCTCTCTCTCTCTCTCTCTCTCTCTCTCTCTCTCTCTCTCTCTCTCTCTCTCTCTCTCCTCTCCTCTCCTATAATCCTACAACAGATCCTGGGGAAGGGAAGGGTGGGTAGTGTGTGCGTGTGTACTTAGCAAGCCCTTACCGAGTGTGTGTGTGTGTGTTTGCGTGTGCACTTAGCAGCTGTGTTAGCGTGTGTGTGCGTCATGAGTGCACTGAGCAGCTGTGTCAGCATGTGCGTGTGTGTAAACATGGTCTGGGGCTCGACTCTAGGTCGCTGTCGGTGCCAAAGTTTTGCCATAAATTTTCGAAGGATGGAGGAAGGAGCTGGAGAAGACACGAGGGGGGGGGGGCGGCTCAGACTGTGGCGAGCTGGGAGTGAGAGCAGCTGCAGGAGCAGGAGCAGGAGCAGCAGGAGCAGCAGGAGCAGGAGTAGCAGGAGTAGGAGCAGGAGTTCATTAACATTTAGTAGTTAATGAAAGGGCTACTAAATGAATTTAGCTTGTGCTATACAAAAGCAACGAAGGTATACACCACGTCATAATACACGGGAAAATATAAGCATACCATGCTACAATATACACGAAGAATATATATACACAAGTCCCTTAACACGTGACAGACATACAACTCCACCACAGTCGACTAAGGCATACAACTCCACCACACGCCAGCCAGAAATAACCCCCCTGAAAATACACACCATTCATACCACTTTATTCTTCACCAAGTATGTCACCGTCACACACCAGCACACCATACAGGCTTACCATCCAACCACTTAACGACAAAGAGACTTAACTAATGGACCCCTCAACCAATTTGCTCTCCAACATGCACCAATTTGGGAGGGGGGTTGGAAGTGCACAATTTCATTAATTACGACTAAGGGGCCAGTGCGGACCACCTATCTCGCGTGCTTGTCCGGGTAAACGAATTTTCGTAAAATCGGATTTCCTCCTTTAAGTCCGA